AAAAATCAATTGCCCATAAATAGATGGGCTGATTTCCGGGTTCTCAATTCTATTCCATTGATCTATGTGTCTGTCATTGTACCAGTACCATGCTGTCTTGACTACCACGGCAGTGAAAGTGGAAAAATTTTTAAAAAGTCACGGTCATAGTTTTGTCCTCTTTATTTTCAGCTTCCTGCCCCAACACAAGTCTCTTTCTTAAATTCAGATGACAATTAGGGCAAAAAGGCCCACTATGGGAGACACAGGTTGTTGACAGACATACCAGTCTTCTCTCTTCCTCTCCCTTCTGGTTCTGGATGCTGACCTTGTGTTCTGGGCTCTTCTTGTGGTGGTTATAGGGTTATTGATCTGAGGGAATTCTTCCTCCTCCTGGACTCCCCCAAATGAACATGCAGTCTCAATTGGAGGTGAGGGTGAGATAGAGGTTACCTGAATGAGGAGAAACCACTGGGGAATATGGAAGAAAAGAGGGAAGTACCATTTCAGGAACAGCCACAAATTGAGCAGGAAAGAGAAAAATGAAATGGAAGCAATTTGCTAAGAGAATCCTTTGGGGCACTGGCAGTCGGGAGGAAAGGAGGTTGAACTTGAATGTGTATGTTGCCCTTGGGTTCTCATTTAAAATAGTTTGTCCTTTTGTCCTATGAAAATACACAGTCTTGGCTTCATGGGTTCTGAGTTTTGCTTCAGGTGATTCATTATGAAGGTTGGGCCACAGAAGAGAAAGTGCATCGGATTCTCTTTCTGAACTTGAGTTTGTAGATGTGGGAAGTTGAACTTGAATACATGGTGCATCAAACCAGGAAAGTGATAAGCTTCTGCTTTCTTTCCTTTCAGGCCCAGTCTCAGGGGTCCATCACCCTGAAAATCATCCCAGCCACCCAGGAGGAGGATTGCTTGAAGGAGAGTAAGGTATGGGGAGCTGGGCTCATGGGGGTCCTTGCAAGGGGTTGGAGGTGGTGGGAAGCACAAGCCCAGTCTTCTAGTCATCTTGGGAGGAGTCAGCCATTCAGTAATGTGTGCCCAGTGGAGAACTTTAATTAAGTCACAGAGTGATTCATTTATTTGTACCTGGCCTCTTTCTAAACAGGGTTTACATGGCTTACTAATAAAAGGCAGGATTATTTTAATAGAAATGGAAAATCAGGGCCATGAAGAGGAGGAGAAGGTACCAAAATGTGCTGGATTTGGACCAATTAAGCAGCTGCCATTTGTTTAATTATTCACTGAGGTTTTGAGTTTTCCCTTTTGTGCTGGGCACAGAGATGCTGGAGCAAAAAAGATGAGTAATCGCTTCAAGGGTGCTGAGTTCAGTGAGGGAGGCCAGGGAGCATGTCTTCTGTCGCTGTGTGATAGGTACTTCGGAAGGAGTATTTGGTACAAAGAGTTACAGACACCTTGGCAAGGCATGACAGTGTAGGCGGCCAGGGAATAGGGACCAAGGCTTGAGGCGGGTGAAGATAAGCAGGACCTCCTGATGAGAAGAGGAGGCGAGTTCAAGCAAAAATATCTTTCTCTATACACGGCTCACGAAGAGGAACTTGATGGAGGTCAGTGAGAAAGAGCCATGTGATGGGACCCGAAGGGAGGGTGAAGGGGGTGGATTGGATGTTTGAGGTTACCTGCCGAATGGCTTCCAAGGCTTTGTTAAGGGTTTTGTCTATAATCTCTGCTTGGTTTGGGATCTCTTAGAAGGTGACCCTGAGACAAGCATCTGAGTGAAAGTAGTTTATTTCAGAAGTGTTCTCAAGAAACATTAGTACAAGAATGGGGAAAGGAAGGCCGCCCACCCAATAAAGAATGAGTTAAGGAAGTTACCTCAGTTGGCGACTGGAAAATAGTCCCCCCCAGTCTGTGATCAGGAAGATCTTGCTATTGTCTAACTGAATCTTTTCTGATTGGCACATAAGTGTTCTCCTTGGGGTAGCTACAGGGCTATTGATATGGCAGAATTCTTCTGGACTCCCCAATGAAGTTCAGTCTCGGTTGGAGGTGAGGGCGAGATGGAGAGAAAAGAGAATATGTTTGGATCTGACTGAGAACACTCTTGACCTGAATATTTAAATTTTTTTTCCTATTTTCTTTTTGGTAAAGTAGGGGTCAGCAAAAAAGATCCTGCTGCTCAGTGAGATGTATTAACACACTTAGTGGCTGCAGCAGTGGTCTTAACCATAGCAATGATCGTGACGCACAGGGCTGGTCAGTGTTTGTTGGACATAAGGTTGCTATGAGTCAGAATCAACTTGATTGAGCCGACCAAGAGCAGTATTCTGAAAATAGAAAAAAGTAAATCCGTGCCACCGAATTCTAGAAGAGAATGAGGAAGTGTGACAGAATTCCGTGTCCTCCCACCATCTCTCAAGTAGTGACTCAGGGTGGAGGAGAGAGTTGACCTTGTCTGTGACAGATGGCAGCAGTATGGATGTCAGTTGCCCAGTGAAGGGTGTGAGAAATCAGTAATGGTATTACTGAGCTTGTACTCTCACATCTTGATGACTTTTTATAATAGAGAGTTGCTGAGTTCACTAGGGGCAGTTGGTATATCAAAAATAACATCTGAGCTACAAATTATGTTTGCTTTCACTTTTTCTGTGTTTGCTCAGAGGCTGTTGTGAAGACAGGAAATGATAAATATGGGTGTGTAGATTGGAAAGAAATATTAGTCATGGGCTATAGCCCATAGTTGAGGAACAAGAAGATAATGTGTACAGACTTTCTGAGTAGGTATCTGTTTGTGAAGCTACTCATTCTTCCTTATTGTGAGTGGCAGTTGTCATTTACCCTTTGGTAAAGACATAGGCACATGTGGGCTCACAGAGGGGACAGTATCATGGGAGCCCATCTTCTGCAGGTGTTCATGCGAGCCCTCTTCCATTACAACCCTCGGGAGGACAGGGCCATTCCCTGCCAGGAGGCAGGTCTGCCCTTCCAGCGCAGGCAGGTCCTGGAGGTGGTGAGCCAGGATGATCCCACATGGTGGCAGGCCAAGAAAGTGGGGGACACCAACCTTCGAGCTGGCCTCATCCCTTCCAAACAGTTCCAGGAGAGGTAAGTCTAGGATGTGTGGTAGGGAGGTGATTCTTATGTGACCAGGGACACAGGTCGATTTTACAAATCCCCAAGTGTTGTCACCATAGCCAAAGGGAAACCCTACCGTGCAATCTTCTCTGAGGTAAGAATCAATTATATGTGTGTTGGCTCCTGCCCCATAAATAGTGATGTTGGCTGTTTGGAATTGAAAAAAGCATATGGAAAATTATGTTTGAGTGCATGTTTCATATACATATTTAGAAAAGTTGAGAAATGAAATATAAAAATATGGAAAAGGAAGACTGGGAAAATTACCCAAACTCTTGTCACTTAACAGCATAATTTATTTTGTCCTGTATTTTTAATGTGTGTGTTACAGAATTTGTGGTCTTACTTTTTTTTTATTAACCTTTTGGCATTAGCTTTCCCCACATTATTACACACTTAGTGTGATTTTAGTGGCTTTGTAATATTTTACCAGGATCTGAATCATTCATTCATTCATAGGCAGCAGGTATATATTATGAATTGAGCTGGTCTCTTTTTAATTTTTTTAAATTTTTTTGTGCTAATCGCTTATGGACTGCTTGGAACCCATGATTTCTGTCCCAGAAGAGTTTACAGTTTATTGGAAAAGCCAGATATTTTAAAAATATTAAATGGCTACTTAATATAAATGTGCTGAGTACAAGGAAGGAGGACATAGTTCTCCACAAGTTCTTACTTAGGAGCGTTTGCCTTCATCTGGATGTGTGGGGGCACAGTGGTTAACCCTTGGCTGCTAATTGAAAGGTTGGTAGTTCAAACCCACTAGCTGCTCTGTGGGAGAAAAGATGAGTCAGTCTGCTTCTGTAAAGGTTACAGCATTGGAATCCTCTGATTCTACTCTTGTAAGGTCAGTATGATTTGGAAGGGGCTTGACCACAATAGATTTGATTATTCATATAGGCAGATGGAGAAGGCTTGTCTGAGAAAAGGTTTTACTTACGTGACTTCACTCCCTGCCCTGTGGCTGCCATTTCCTGGTAGAATGCTAAATTATTTCCAGTCTTTCACTCCTAGAAGACTGTAAAAATTATCTTGCACATAGGGGGCTCCCACATATCGAAGGATTTCTTAAGTGTCTGTAAATCAGAGAGTATGGCAGTTATAATGGCATCACTGTCCCTGAGCTTGGGCACCCTTTCCACATTTTTTTGGTGTTTGGTACCCAGTAATGATAAACCCCAGCGTTCATCCAGTTCAGCAGTCTTCACTGTGTCGTATGTTCCCTGGACTGGCAGACTCAGCATCACCTGAGGACCTGTTCGAGATGCAGGCCCTGTGCCTTGCACCAAGCTTGCTGAATTGGAGACTCTTGGGGGCTGCCCTGTAGTCTATGTTCTAACAGCTGTTCCAGGGGCCTTAAAGAGCTGACATTGGAGAAGTGCTGGCCTGTTTCCTCAGGGAATCCCTAGATTCCCTACAACTTTGGCTTTTCAGGTCTAGATGAAATCTTGGTGAAGGGTATCGAGGAGGGCTGCTGTGTGGAGATGTGGAGATCTGGACACTCAGAAGCCTTGGAGCATTTGCCTAGCTCTGAGATGGGATCTTGGTGACCCCCTCTCCACTGACAACCGAACTGGATAATGTCTCGGGGTTGAGCTCCCCACTGTGTGTGGAGGGGCATTACATTAGTGCACATCTGTCCTCCTACTCCCAGCAAACTCTGGTCACCTAGTGGATAAGGTGGTGCAATGCCAACGCCAAGGCAGGTGGACCAGCGCCCGAGCTTCTCCATGGGAAAAAGATGAGCTGTCTCCTCTCATGCAGTTTATGACTTCAGAAAACTCACTAGAGAGTCAGCTATGAGTTAGTTCTCTGACTCCATGCTGGACTTAGTGATGGACTGGCTGGCTGACTGACCCTCCACCAGCCTCTCCTGGCAGACATCCTGCTGTTTTCCAACTTGCTTAGAAATGGGAGTGTGGTTGGATGAAAGAAGAAAGGACTGCTCTGTTCCACAATCAGCCACAGAATAGTCATGAACAGGCCACGGGTGGTTGTTACTGGACTGGAACCCTGTGGGTGGCCATCTTGAGATGGAATGAACTTCCAGAACAAGAGACTCAGTTTCTTCTTCCTCATGAACAAATGAACTGTCCGTAGGGAAGCAACCCTGTGACTGTACTTTGTGCCAGTTAGGAGGCCCTCAGAACTAGTGCCCACCTACAGATCTGCCCTCAGTGTCCTCATGTCTGCTAGAAGGTTGTGGTGCTGGAGAAGAGTGTCGAACATACCATGGACCACCAAGAGAACAAACAGGTCTGTCTTGGAGAGGGTGAAACCAATTTTCCCTTTGCAGGCTAGGCTTTTTAAACACCGGCTCATATACTTTGGGCACAGGAGGGACCAATACTTAGAGAAGGACATCATGCTTGGAAGGGTAGAGGGACAGTGTAGGACAGGAAGACCCTGGATGAGATGGATTAACACAGTGACTGGGACAGTGGGGGTAGGTGTGTCAGAGTCAGTGTGTCATGCTCAGGACAGGGCAGGCTTCAGAGCTGCTGTACATAGGGTCTCTGAGTCACAGGCGATTCGATGGTACATAACAACAACAGCTAGAAGGTGTCCTCTGACTGATCTTCATGTTCCAACTCATGGGTCCTGCCCTTATGGCCCCTTATGTCTCCACAGGAGACTAAGCTACCGAAGAGCCACAGGCACCTCGTCCAGCGCCCAGAGCCTCAAGAAACCGCCCTGTAAGTAGATCAGTGGGATGGTAGATCAGGGAGGGGCTGGGTAAGAAGCAGGCATGGGGTTGGAGGGGCATCAAAGATCCTGTCTGAGCTCACAGCCCTCCAGGAGGATGGGGGTGAAGAAGGCATTCCCTGGAGAGGAGTATCTGTCTTGGGGGCCCAGCAATGCCAGGAGAAGTATGTTAGCACCTCTCCCAAAACTGCATGCAAAACTCTACATGTTTGTGTGTCTCAGTTTTCATTAGAGTATCAAAGACTTTTGGACCTTGAAATGTTTGTCACTGATGCTGGGGATAGGGTGGGAAAAGGGTCACGGATAACTGGGCAAAAATAGAGATGGCCAAGAATTGTCCCTTGATGGAAAAGGTAGAGGGTCAGGGAGAGAGAGGAAGACTTCTAATGTGATGAAGTGAAACCTTGACTGCAGCAGTGGACTTGAACTTGGGAAGAGATTGTGGTGATGGGGCAAGGTTCTGGTCGTAAGGTCGCTATGAGACGTAGTCTATGGCACCTAAGAACAGTGGTCCATTTGTCACATCCATGTTTATCATGGCTTTGTTCACAATAGCAAGTAGCTGGAAACAACCTAAGTGCCCATCAACAAACGAATGGATAGAGAAGCTGTGGTATATTCACACAATACAAGAACTTAATGCAGTATTATTCAAAATGGGTGACCCTGGAGGACATTATGGTGAGTGAAGTATCTCAGTCACAAAAGGACAAATACTGCATGGTGCCACTGTTGTAAAACAGCACTGACATTGGGGTTGGGGGGAGACTGAGAAAGATGGGATAAAGAATGTATACTGCATTGAAACAGATGAGGGAGAAAACTTTAAAAGGGATATGTGACTGGATATTTTTGTCATGACTGGAGTCTAGAATGAAGGCTGCACAGTGGAGTGGAACTGGGGGGAGGGATTGTAAAACAATGAAAGAACTTCTCTTTTACTTTTCCAAGAGGGGGGTGTACTGGGGGGAGGGGTGGGTGGGGAGAAAAGTGCAACAATGAATGAATGAAAATCCAAAGTCTTTGTAAATTTTCATTGAAATTAATAATTAAAAAAATTAAAACAAAAAACCCAACAGTGGTCCATTTGTGAGGATTTTGGTTTTCTTGATGTTGAAATGTAATTAAAAATAGAGATTTTTAAAAAAAATTTTATTAATTTTAATGAATGTTTACAGAGATTTTGTATTTTCATTCATTCATTGTTGCATTTTTCTCCCTGCCCATCCCTCCCCCCCCAGTTCATGCTTCTCTTTGAAAAGAAAAAGAAACATTCTTTCATTGGTATACCACCCCCCTCCAGGTACACTCCATTATGCAACCTTCATTATGGACTCTTGTCATGACCATAATACCCAATCATATATTGCTTTTAAACTGTTCTCTAGCTCATCTGTTTCAATGCAGTATACATAATTTATCCAATTTTTCTCAGTCTCACCCCAACCCTGATGTCAGTCCCATTCTACAACAGTGGCACCATGCAGTATTTGTCCTTTTGTGACTGAGATATTTCACTCAGCATAATGTCCTCCAGGGTCACTCAATTTGAATAATATTGCACGAATTCCTTGTTTTTCAATGCAACATAGTATTCCATTGTGTGAATATACCACAGCTTCTCTATCCATTCGTTTGTTGATGGGCACTTAGGTTGTTTCCAGCTACTTGCTATTGTGAACAAAGCCACGATAAACATGGGTGTGCATATATCTGTCTGGGTGACAGTTATGATTTCTTTAGGGTATATTCCCAGTAGTGGAATTGCTGGGTTAAATGGTATTTCTATTTGCAACTTTTTTTTTCCTCTTTTGACTTTCAATTTCTTTACATTTGCAAGTTTTTGAGAAAGCGCCATACAGCCTTCCATAGTGGTTGCACCATTTTACAGTCCAACCAGCAGTTAGTAAGGGTTCCAGTTTCTCCGCAGCCTCGCCAGCATTTGTTGGTTGCTGCTCTGTTAAATTTTGCTATTCTGACTGGGGTGAGATGCTATCTCATAGTTTTTTTGGCAGCTTGTGTTTTATCTGACAGCTCTACTGTGTTCAGTGCTTTACCTTTTAGAAAACACATCCACACACCTTGCCTTTTGTCACAGTATTATACAGTTAGGTTCATAGCAGTGTTACCCACAATAGCATGAAAATGGAAGCAGCCCAAATACCTGTCAACAAAATAGGGGACTGAGGAAATTAATGGTACAGTTATACAATGGAATACTATGAAGCACTAAGGAGCAATGATTTTGTAAAATACTAAATAACTTAGGTGAGACTTGAGAGCAAGTTTGCTGAGTGAAATATCTCAGTCATGTAAGGACAAATGTTGCATTAGGCTACTATTGTGAAAATAGGAGGATAACTGAGTAAAATATATATAAATGTTCAGAAGGGAAAGTTGAGAAAGGGAGGCAGAAAAAGGGGAAGGGGAAAACATCACTGGGATAGATAGTGGAGGTTCTGGGTGGAAGGGGTGTGAAGTAATGGGAAAGGTTCATTGGGGGCTGGAAAAGATGGGTGATGTAGATGTAGAGCAATGATAATGAACTACATAAAATATAATGTAGGTGAATGATTATACACAAAGTACATGTCCAAAACATGTACGTGAATGATTATATGCAAACCAATAAAAAGAATTGTCCCAGTAGCCTTGAGAAATAGATAGTGTGGGCATCCTCATTTCCCAGATGTGAAAACAGAGGCTCATGTGGTTAAGTGAGTGGAGCTCGGCTATGTTTTTAGAGAGCCTGTGAAAAGGAAGCTTTTCCAGGGTACAGCCTTTTTGTGGACCAGGCAGGCTAGTGACCAAGGGAGGGACCCAAACAGGATCCAGGTGGCGTCCACTTCTGGCCACCTCATCTTCCTCTGGCACCTGCACTTGCCCAGGTGAGCCTCAGACCCCAGCAGAGAGCACACAAGCCTTTGCCTACTGCTGGCATCCTATAGCGAGTCACTCTCTGGCACTACGGCCATGGCCAGCGGCCACTTTCAGGTTTGTCTCCAGGTGGAGGGACACTGAATAAATTGGCCTCGTGGAGGCTGCTTGAGCTGCCAGGGAGGAGCTGGCTTTCTTTGGCCCACTAATGAGACACCCAGCGGAAGACTAATTAGAGCAAGTCTCGGAGTATAATAACTCACCACAGCTTGGATCACAGGTTGTGTGTTGGGGGAGGCGGAGGGACAGATGGAGGTCTTCTTAGGCACATGGGGCTGTGGCTGCCTCTCAGCCGCAGGGCCTCCCAGCTCCCCTCCCAGTTCCCCTCTACTAACGCTGTTCCATCTGTCTTTTGTGCAAACCGCAGATGATCAGCCTTGTGACAAAGGTAGGCCTTGGTCATTGTCCCCTGCGCACATGGGCAAGGCCCTTTCCTTGGAATGTTGGGGGCATAGGGCTTGTATTCCTCCTTCCCCAGGTGTGGCGCTTTGCCCCCTGCCCCTGCTCTGCCTGCAGCTTGAGGTGTGCAGAGATGGTGGGGAAGAAGGTCGAGGCCCGGATATTGCCTGTGCTTCCATGAGTCTGGGCAAGGCAGGAGCTAGGAGGCATGGGAGGCCGGGAGGAATGAGGTGTCCATCCCCATTCACGTGGATCCCAACTCAGAGGTGTTGACAGACCTGCTGGCCAGGGCCCAGAGGGACTCTTTGGAGCTTAAGTGTGGAGAGCTGAGCGAAACAGAAGAGCTTCCTCTCCTGGGACACCGGGGCACAGGGTTCCTTCTGAGACCCCATACTGAGGGCTCGGCGAGTCCGGGGCAGCCCTGCATGGCCCCCTTGGGCTGGAGCATGTCCAGCTCAGCTCACTGTCCTGTTTAATTCTCAGAGACCTGTGACTGTGAGGGATCCCTCAGAGGACACTATGTGGGTAAGTAGTGGAAACGCGCCTTCACCATCTACACACGCACAGCCCCACCTTGGGCTCCTGGAGTGCGAGTGAACGGAGCCTGGGGAGCTCTTTACGAGCAGCTGGCCATGGGGCCCACCCCAGCTTTCACCCAGCCCTAGAAGCAGAGGGAGCTCTGATAGGAGACTCTTTCTGTGAGGGAATATGTGATGACTGGGAGACAAGCAGCATTGACTTGTTAAATTCAAAGCAATTTAATGCTCCAGTTTAATGGTTGTTTCTTTAGTATGAACACCACACCACACAGCGAGGGATCCGTCTCCTAGTCTCCACGATGCCCTCACTTCTTCTGTGCAGTCTTTTCTTCAAGTCTTAGAAACAAAGCGAAATGTTTTTTAACTTGTTATTCTGAAATACTTTCAATTTTTAAAAAAAATTTATTATTTTTTGTGCATTGTACCGTCAAATCAGATCTGACTGGTACAGGAGGAGATTGTCCCTCCTTCTCCAGCAAAGCATCTGGTGGATTCGAACCAGGCACATCTGGAATTGCAGTGCAGCTTCTTGCTACTAGGCCACCAGAGCTCCTTTAAATTTTATGGAAAAGTTTCAACCATTGTCCAAGAACAACCATATACCAGATTCACTGGATGTTAAGCCACTGGAAGGTCATGTGTTTGAGCCCACAAGCTGTTCTGTGGGAGGAGGACGAGGCATCTCCTCCTTAAATTACAGCCTTGGAAGCTATGGGGCGGTTCCGCTCTGTCCTGTAGGGTCACTGAGTCACTCTGAGGGGGAACGGGCTTGATGGGAATGGCCACACTTACTTTATCATCCCATTTTTCTCCATAAATGTGTTTCCTCCCCCTGAGCTACATGCAAATTCATTTCAGATGTTCTGTCCTTTATCCCAGAATACCTCAGTGCATGTGCAGCAATTAAAGTAACAGTTCAGAAGAAGAAAAAGACTTCCACTCAGTTACTAACAATATAACTAATTATTCAGTGTGGGAAAATTTTATAAAATAGGTTATTAATAGTTATGTAGACTAACAATATTACATTTGAGCAATTTACAACTTTTACCACATATTACTGTATTATATTGTTATGTAAGGATATTCTCTTCTGTAAACTCAGGGCAGTTAACAAATTCTGGGAATAAAACATTGATATATTCTATTACCTAGAATTACTGTTCATGTTAACAATTTCATCATTATCCCAACACTGTCCTTTATAGAATTTTTGCTGATGCAGGACCCAATCTTTGACCACGTACTGCATTTATAGACATATGTCCTCATTTCAGGAACCCTGCTGGTGCTGAAGGGTAAGAAATAAAAAAAAAACATTGGCTGCTAACGAAAATGTCAGTGTTTTGAACCTGCAAGCTGCTCTGAGGAAGGAAAATGCTTCCGTAAAGAGTTGCAGCCTTGAAAAGCTCTACAGGCAATTCCATTTTGTCCTGCAGGGAAGTTATAAGTCAGAATTGACTCAATGTCAGTGGATTTTAGTGTATTATACCCATTTTACAGAGAGGAGAATGGAGGTTCAGAAAGGTGAAAGGACTTGCCCAAGGTCAGTCACATATCAGGGAAAAAGAGTGACACTGAACTTCTGTTCTTGGATGCTAGATGCTCACCCTTTTGTTGTATTGCTGTGCTTCATGGACCATGTCCTTCCTGCAGAGGGGAGTAGCCAGAGGGGCAGTGGGACTCAAGTTCACCTGCCAGGTCTGGCCAGGTAGAGAAAATCTTTTCTGGGAGATCCTGGAACAAATAACTTGGTGTCTCCTGCTTCTTCTTCAAAGCTGGTCTCCGGAGGAGCTTCCGGCTGGGCCGCAGGGAGAGGCTGGGCAGTGCCCCGGAAGGAAAGGCACCCGCCGTAGCAGAGCCTTTGGAGCTGCTAACTTACGAGGAGGTGGCCAGGTACCAGCACCAGCCTGGCGAGCGGCCACGTCTGGTGGTTCTGATTGGTAGGTGACGTCCTGGACCTCCGTGGAATGGGATGGTTTCTTCTTGGAGACGAGGGAAGGACACTCAGAGGGGACAGTGGCCAACCTCCCTTTTGCTTTCCAGGTTCCCTGGGAGCCCGACTGCATGAGCTGAAGCAGAAGGTGGTGGCAGAAAACCCACAGCACTTTGGCGTTGCTGTTCCACGTAAGAGGCCCACATGGGCTTGTGTGCTTGTGTACGTGCTTGCGTGTGACTATTTCAAGAGGACGTTACTCCCTATATCCACCCCAGTCCTTACTTTGAGTCTGAGGGAACGTGATATAGGCATACCGTGAGACCTAATGGTCCACTAGGATCCTCTGATACAGAAGCTAGAAAACTGCCTTCCTGGCTGGTAGGATGAACAGAAACGGTGGCTCACAGGTCCCTGGGGAACCCCCAGGTCCATCCTCTAGGGGATCACCTGGATGGTCAGACCCACTTGCTTCTGATCACCCCACAGATAGGGGACTTCATCCCTTGTGTTTAGGCTCGAGGGGAATCAGGGAAGTCTTCCTAGGGGTGGTGACTTTTATACTGGCTTTTGATGGGTGAATAGAGTTTTCTGAGAGGGAAAACATGGAGAGGTGCACAAGAAATTTGGTCAACAAAAGTCAACACTATTAGCTAATAAATGGGATTGGCAGTTGGTCGTTGATGGGAAGTATTAGAGAATTTAAAAAAATCCTGCAGTATCAGCAGTACTAGACATTAATCTATAAGCATATATTTAGGCATATAGGTAGGATGAAGAGGTATGGACAGATGACCGCATGTGACATGAAAGGTGTGACAGATGATATTTCTGTATTCATATTAGTATGTATTTTAAATACATCTGTGCAAATAGCAGAGCCAATAGGGGGCAAAGCTATGTAAGCTTCTTATTCATAACACCTTGAGAGAATGACTTCTGGTCCTGGCATCTTGGGGACCACTCAGGGTTGACTGGCATAACAGAGTCCATAAAGACCATGTTCTCCTTCCTGCTATGGTGAATAGTGACCAGAATCTTAAAAGCCTTCCAGCAGTTGCCTAAGATGCAGCTGTTGATCTCTCTCTGTCTGAAGAAAGAAGAAGAAAGAAAAGCAAAGACATATAGAAACAGTTTGTTCAAAGATGAATTGGACCAGAAGACCCTCATGCTCCACAAGACCAGGAGAAGTAGATGGTGCCCGGCTACCACTACTGACTGCTCTAAAAGGGATCTCAGAAGTGATCCTGGATAGAGTTGGGGAACATGTGGAACAAACCTTGAAACCAAAAAAGGTCAGGCTTACAGGTGTGTTAGAGACTGGTGGAACCCTAGAGATTATGGCCCTTAGGTGACCTTCAAAACTGGAATAAAACACACCTTTGTGGTTCAACTTTCAGCTAAATAGTAGACAGGATTTAAAAGGGAGGCACACACTCCTTATAATAACCAACTGTTGATTAGAAGACTTGATGGAAATGAGAATCACACGGAGGAAGTGGGAAGGATGCTTATATTGAATTGTCCTTAATGTTATAAACAATATAGGTGAATAATTGAATGGAAAGCAATTTTCTTTGTAAACGTTCTCTCAGATCACAAACACAATGTGAGTTTTCCAAGCAGAAGAGAAAGAAAGGCTTACTATTCAGCAGGAAAAGTTGCCAGTCTCTAACACACCTGTAAGCCTGACATTTTTTGGTTTCAAGGTTTGTTCCACATGCCCTCCAACTTTATCCAGTATCAAGGCCAGCGCGACTGCAGTATTGAGGACTGGGGAGAAGTTCCAGTGGAGGAGGAAGTAGTGGGAGAGGAAGCTGAACTGGAGAGTGAGCAGATCATAAAAGGTCTTAGATACTCAGCTGAGGTGTCTGCAAAGTAACCAGTACATGAATAAAAATGCTAAGCAGGAGAATGACAGAGGGATCAGAAAAGGGAGCCCATTGGCTCTGCTAGAGGTTGGACCAGATGCCACATGAATATAACACAGAAGCAATCCTTGGGTGGTTGCCCAGGACCAGAAAACTCCCCTCCCCAAACCCAGCTTTTCTTTTGGAATGCTCTGAAAAAGGCTTTGGCCTACTTAAGATATGCCCATATTTACTGGCAGACCTGACTCCCTAGGAAAGCACATCACCATCTTACTATAAAAATCAGTGAGAGAAAAATGTGTTTTTGAATCACTCGAGAGCCAGCTTTGCTCTGTCTAGTCACATTTTATGTCAGAATGAGAAAGAATTCAATAAAAAAAAAAATTGAATAAGGGATTAACAGCACATACAGAGTGGGGTTGTCTGTGCTTGAGCCCCTTCTGCTCTCTTAAAAGAAAAACAATGAAGATAGAAAACCTTTGAATTAGGGATACTGTAAGTGATTATGAGATAATTTAGCAAAGTGGTTAAACGTATATGCTTACATGAGATCAAGAGCCCTAGATGGAGAATGGGACCCAGCGACTTGCTACCTGTGGGGACACTGGGCACGGTGAGGTGCTAAACCTCTCTGTGCCTCAGCTTATTCTACTGAAAAAGCAGGAGACAAAAAAAAAGCAGGAGACCTTGTTTTGTCTTAAAAAAGAGTTGTGAGAATCAGTAATGTTTCTGGAAAAAGCATGGCGCGTGGCATGCAGGGAACACTCAGTGAGTGGGAGTGGTTTACATGAGACAAATCAGTGATGATTTCCCAAAAGGGCAGTGGGCTCGATGCTGCTCTCACCATTAAGTGATGTGTCTTCACCCACTTTCCTTCTTTTTTCTTGAAAAGATACCACCAGGCCACGAAAGAGCCATGAGAAGGAAGGTGTGGAGTACCACTTTATCTCCAAGCAAGCATTTGAGGCAGACTTGCATCATCACAAGTACGTTGACTGTCTGCGCCGCTGTCTCTGCCTAGTGTTTCCCCACTTGACCTCCTGGGAAGGCTTGGGAGAGGACGGGAGATGTGGGAGAGAAGACCTGTCTGGGAGTCCATTGAACCTTCTTTGCTACCGTTGAATGATCTGTAACTAAAGAAAGACCTTTCTCCCTTTGGTTCAGGTTCCTGGAGCATGGTGAATATAAGGAGAATTTCTACGGGACCAGCCTGGAGGCCATTCGGGCTGTCATGACCAAAAACAAAGTGTGTTTAGTGGACGTGGAGCCAGAAGTGAGTTCCTGGACTAGCGGGGCCTTTATGGTTAGGAAGATTTCCAAGCTCGGAGACTGTACGTATTATAGAACCCTTGACTTCAGTCCAAGGAATTTTTAGTCCAGAGCTGTAGGTATCAGACTTTCCTTTATCTCCCTTTAAGATCTGAATGAAAGATGCATACTCCCGAGATGTGCACCTGTGTGCAGGGCGTGCCTCAGATATTGTGGGTTCATTCGACACCACTGCAAATAGCTAACTTTACAATAAAGCAGGTCACATAAGTTTTTTGTTTTATGTCTATACTATATTCTTTTAACTGTAGTGTAGTCTATTAAATGAAACAAATTAATGGTTTAAAATTAAGAATGGAGTGTGACAGGGTTGTATTCTCTCTCCATATCTATTCAGTCTGTGTGCTGAGCAAATTATTTAAGAAATTGGACTCTATGAAGAAGAGTGTGTCATCAGTGTCAGAGGAAGACTCATCAATAGCCAGTGTTATGCAGATGACACAACCTTGCATGCTGAAAGTGAGACAGACTTGAAACACTTGTTGCAGAAGATCAAAGCATACAACCTTCAATATGCATTTCATCTCAGTATCAAGGAAACCAAGATTTTTACCACTGGACTGATAGGCAATATCATGATAGATGAAAAATAGATTGAAACTATCAACAATTTCATCTTACTTGGATCCACAGTTAGCACCCTTGGTACCAGCAGTCAGGAAATCAGGAGATGTATTGTATTATTAAAGTCTGCAGTTAGGGACCTCTCCAAATTATTGAGGAGTAATGATGTCAGTTGGAGGACAAAGGTGCGTCTGATTCAGGCCATGGTCTTTCCGATCACTTGCTATGCATCTGAGAGTTGGACAATGAATACGAATGACAGAAGAAGAACTTGTGCCTTTGAGCTGTGGTGTTGGAGAAGACTACTGAACGTCCCATGGACTGCCAAAAGAACAAACAAATATGTCTTGGAGAGGGTGCAGCTGGAGTGCTCTTTGGAGGTGAAGATGATGAGTCTTCACCTCATATACTTCAGGAATGTTGCAAGGAGCTATTACTTGAAGAGAGACATGATGCTCGGAAAGGTCAGTGAAGGAGAGGAAGACCCTCGACCAGGTGGACTGACACGGTGACTGCTGCAATGGGCTCTAATGGTGTCAGGAAGTGTGAGGATGGCACAGGATAGGAAAGGGTTCAGATCTGTTCATAGGGTTGCTATGAGTCATACTTGAACTGATGGCACCTAACAACAACAACCACCACAGTCTGTTAAATCATGGTGTAGCCTGTTAAACACCATGTTGCTCTAGTATGCTGTGTGTGGGGCCACTAATCCAAGGATTGCAGGTTCAAGGTCATCAGCTGCCTCAAAAACCCGACGGGGGGTTGCTGTGGAAGCTCTATTCAATGGCAGTAATTTTGGTTTGTAGACTGTTCAGTGTGTAACAGCATCATGAAGACGTTTGAGCTATTTGCACGATGCAGGTTTGCCACAAACCTTCCATTTGAAAAAAAAAATGCAGTATATGCAAAGCACAATAAAGTGTGATAAAATGAGGTGTGTCTGCCTGTGTAAACACTATGTAATTGTAGGGAGGCTCGTGGATCCAGGATGACAGCCCCTACAAAGTCAATCACACAGTAAAGGTGTCACATATGGCATAGAACTAAATGTAAATACCTAATCAGAGAGGACATTCAGTGGTAGACTTCTCACCTTCTATACTGGAGACCTGAGTTCGATTCCCAGCCAATGTGCCTTTGTCCCCAGACATGACAAGGGAACCACTGAGGGGACAGTCAGGAGAACACTTTGAAAGAGAGAAAGAAACTTCCTGTTTTACAGGGAGACCACACTTTACAAAGTGCTTCAAAAACATTTCTGATGTTGCCCCACCCAGCATGCCCTAGCAGTGGCTGGGACTGGGACTTTCCCCTCCTTTTCACTTTGTCTTTGAGAAAATTCCCAGGCTCTGCACTCAACTGGGATTTTCGTTCAGATGGACTATCTCCTCCCATGCGACTCACAGCCTCTGAAAACCTGCTGGAGGGTCATCTGTGAGTGGGTTCTGACTCAGTGGTACATAACAACTATAGAAACAGCTTTCTGGTTTTTTTTGTAGATTAACTGTCACTTCATTTTAAAAGGTTGTTTTTTTTTAAAATTCCCAAAATTCATTACCTTATAAAGGGCAGATTCACAAATTCACAAACCCTTGTGAATTTAGACTTACTGGGAGTTGAGAGTCAAAATTAAAAGTGTATTTAAAAAATTAAAAGTGTTTATTTCAATCATGTTTAAAGAAAAGTGGTTTTATTGGTTGGATGTGCAGCAATACATTCAGCATTTCAATACCAGTGTTTCTAAATCAAGACTCTCCATTGGAGAGATAAAAGCCATAATGAACAGTAGGATTTGTTTACAGAACAGTCCCTTAAAGTCTTTGTTTCAAGTGATCTTCTAGGTAATTTTTTGGTTTGTTTAGTAATCTTTTCTTTTTTAAACAGGCAGCCAATAAGATTGTATACAATTTGTATCAATGTAGTCCAAATAATATGTGTCTGAGTGTATTGTATAGTATGGAATCTCTCTTGCATCAGAACGAGCTGGTAGAGAAGGGCTTAAGGAGGTCGATGAGAGCGAGCTTGGGAACCTTTGGTTCTCATTGTGTGGTCTTCCGGGTGTGGCAAGTCCAGTCCACATGGAGTGAATGAGCGCGTTGTCTGTCCAGTCCAAGTCCTTTGTCATGTGACAGGACCTTTGTCGTTGTGGTTATGCAATTGAAGCACATAGCTCTTGAGCTTTTAGAAGGTTATGTTACTCAAGAAAAGATTTTGAAAGTATATCATGTTTTTGAAATTTCTTCCCCAGGCACTGAAACAACTGAGGACCTCAGAATTCAAACCCTACATTATATTTGTGAAGCCTGCAATTCAGGAAAAAAGGAAGACACCACCTCTGTCCCCGGCATTCGAGGCCACAGCAGCCCCGCTTGTAAGTTTAACTTTTTTTTTTTTTAAGGCCTCAGTAAGTCAGGTACAAGGAATGTTCCAAGGAATGTTGTGAGGGTGCTTGTAGTGGAGGAGAGGTGCAGGATGGACCTGCATACGATGATCTCTCCACACTGTCTCTTGGTGACACTGAGATAATTGATCGCAGGACTAGAAACCGCCATATGGGGGGCAGAAGTGTTCACAGTCCAGGCAGGGGTGACTTTGTCTGCGGCCCCTACCCAATGGCAAGGGTATGACATCTGTCTGAACTCCTGAACTCAACCCAAGGAATTTTTTTTTAAAAAAATGAAACACCAAGTAACAAGGTCATTATCATTGCTTTCGAAATGACATGGTTTGTCAGGAGTTGCACTGCTAACCGAAAAGCTATCCTTCTCTCCAGTGGTTCGAATCCACCAGTGACTCCTTGGGAGAAAGATGAGCAGTCTCTTCCTCGTGATTTTACAGCCTTGGAAGACTCGCCGGAGGGTTAGTTATGAATCGGTTCCAACTCGGTGGCAATTGAATTTGAGCGTTTGTTGTTTTGATTTTTTTAAGTTTTAAACAAGTTTGAGTAGGAGCCCTGGTGGCACAGTGGTTAAGCACTCAGCTGCCATCTAAAAGGTTGACAGTTTGAACCCACCAGCCACTTGACCAGAGAAAAATATGGTGGTCTGCTTTTACAAACATTGCAGCCTTAGAAACCCAACGAGGTCATTCTGCTCGGTCCTCTAGGGTCACCAGGAGTCAGATTCCACTGGAAGGCAACAGGTTTGAAAGGAATGCTGTGACAGTCAAGCTCCAGAGGTTGGTGGTTCTCTGAGTTGGAGGAAGGCAGTTAACAACAACAATAAGAGCTTTGCAAGAAAAAAGCCTGGTGATCTTTTCTCAAAGCTTACAGCCTAGCAGATAGACCCCATGGGCAGTTCTGTTCTGTTAGGGAGTTCTAGGGGCAGGAAGGTGCACTGCAGTCCTAAAGGAACGTGGTTTGAATCCACCAGCTGCTCTGTGGGAGAAAGATGGGCAGTGTCCACCCATGTGATTAACTGCCTCTGAAAACCTGCTGCAGGGTCAGCTGTGGGTTGGTTCCAACTCAATGGTATACAACAACAACAACAACAACAACAACAACAACTCTGTTACGAGGGATCACTATGATTGAAATTGACTCAGAGGCTTCCAACAACAACAAACTGGTTTGAAGCATCAGTGAATTTATTTCTAGAACTATTGGATGGAAGAATCCAGTGTGTTCCTAAGTGAACTTCCGTCTCCCTGGCGTGGATTCCTTGTTCAGCCCAGCAGTAGGATCCTCACCCAAAAATCTGATAGGGTGGTCTAGGATTAGTGTCCCATCTTAGCTGATTCTCAAAAGGGTCAGTAGGGAGAAAGAGTCAGAAGTGGTCCGTGAGCAGAGATCAGAGGCAATCCAGTTCAGAGCTGACTTTGCTTCTTGGCTCTTCCTTCTGAAGGCTGCCCTTTGCCATCCTGTCCCTCAGGCAAGACCTCTGCCCAAGCCAAGATTTTGAGCTATCCGCTACATACAATTCTGGGTTATAATTGATCAAATTACTTAGACTAACAGCACTAGAAGGACCATTAGAGGTTTTCCCCTTTAGGGACTCCAAGGAGAACCTTAGAAACAAATTGGTTCTAGAAACACTTAGAAACAGATTGTGTTTATCATAGTGCCGTTAACAGCAGCAAAATCAGAGACAACCTAAATGTTCAGTACTGAGGGCTCAGTGCAGTGCAGCATTCCAGGACAGGTACAAGATGGAATGGGATCCGTGTAGCCAATGAAGTAATGTAATTGAGAAACACTTGATGATAGAGCCAAATACAATATTACAGGGTATATGGGGGGGGGGAACCCTGATAACCTGATTCTTATTTCTTCCCATACACAAAAAAATTTCACAAAAATGCTAAAGGGAGCTCTCCCTGGATAATGGGCTCATGGTTAATTTTTTGTTTTCTATATGAGCTGTTTTTAGGGAGTGGGAGAAGGGAAGGTTATTAGCTTTATTGAGTCATATACTTGAACATTCATAGAGGTTTTTTGTTGCTTTTTAAAAAATTTTATTTGATTATATTTTGTTTGTACCATCAAGTCAGATCTAGGACGGGAAGAGGTTTCCCCTCCTTCTCCAGCAGAGAAACTGGTGGATTTGAACCGTGTACCTCTGGGATTGCAGTGCAGCTTCTTGCCACTAGGCCACCAGAGCTCCCTTAGAGTCATTGTTTGAAGGTGTACACTTCATTTGTTTTTAGCATATGCAGAGAGCTGTGCAGCTGGCACCATAGTCATTTTTAGAGCAAGCATATTCATCACCAAAAAAGGTGTCCCCAATACCCATTAGCAGTCACCCCCATTTCCTCCCAGCTCCTCCCCAGCCCTCAGCAACTGTTCATCAACTTTGTCTCTATAGATTTCCCATCACATCTAAATGGATTCCTATCTTTGCATCTTCCTTACCTTTTATGTTTTATTTTCACGTTGTTATTGTTGTTAGGTGCCATCGAGTCGTAGATGACTCATGGTGACCCTATGAACGAAAGGCCTGAGCACTGTTCATGGTTTCCGGAGGCAAGCCATTTCGGAAGTGGATGCCGCTCCTGCTTCCAGGCATCTTCCTTACCATTTATGTTTTCTTTTCACATACCATAATGCTTTTAAGGCTCATCTCTGGTGTAGTCCCTATTAGCCCTTCACTCTTTTTCATTGCCAGCTAATATTTCACTGTGCAGAATACCACACCATGCTTATCTGTTCCTTCGTGCATAGGTCATTGGGTCGTTATGCTGCTGTGAACATTGATACACTTATTTTATGTGAATGTATATTTGTATCTCCTGCTCACTGGCTTTCCTGGAATTTTGATTCAATGTTGTCACTCTACTGGTCTTGTGTACGCATTTGTTATCAATGGGGCGTCATCATCTGCTCATCAGATGACAAATTCTAAGGTGACACGCTGCCCATGACCACGATCTCATAGCCTTTGGATTATGGGTTTCTAACTTTAGGGTACAACTGTCCCTTCCCTTGCAGGATGAGGAGCAGCAGGAGATGGCCGTCTCCGCCGCCTTCATAGACCAGCATTACGGGCACCTGGTGGACGCCGTGCTGGTGAAGGAGGATCTCCAGGGTGCTTGCAGCCAGCTCAGAGTGCTCTTGGAGAAACTGAGCAAGGACACTCACTGGGTGCCTGTCAGCTGGGTCAGGTAACTCTATCCTCGGACAGCCCAGTTGGAGAAGACCATGAAGACCATCTAGTCCAGCCACCTCGTTTTACCACCAAGGCATCTCAAGCATGGGGAGGGGTGAAATTCTCCACGTACTCCATCATCAGGAAGAGGACAGTGGGAAGTCTTGTTTGTGGTTGGTTTTTGTCTGTTGTCTCTCAGAAAACCACGACTTGAAGGAGACGTGTCACAGAGTAACACATTTCACTCATTAAAGCATCACAGGCAAGTGTTTCCCTGAGTCTTTGTGCCAGTGTTAAGTAGCCGCTGTGTTTGGGGAGGGGTGGTTAACTTAGAAGTCCGTGAGTATTGCCAAAGTAGCCCTGCTGGCACAAGAGTTCAAGTGCTCACCTGCTAATGAGAAGGTCATGGGTTCTAACTCTCGGCCACTTTGTAATAGAATGTGTGGGAGTCTGCTTCCACGAAGATTTACAGCCTTGGGAACTCTGTGGGACAGTTCTCCTCTGCCTGGTAGTGTTATGAGTCAGAATCAACTAGATGGCAGGTATGCTTAGGTTTTGGTTTGTTGTTATAGGCCGTCAAGTCGCCTGGGACCCATACTGACGCCATGTACAGCAGCTCTGAACCCTGCCCTGTCCTGAGCCGGTCTCACTGACGCCAACACACCTACCCCCATTGCCCCAGTTACTGTATCAATCCATCTCATAATTTTGGTCTCTTTCTTTCGTGCTGTGCCCCTCCACCTTTCTGAGCATGATGTCCTTCTCCAAGGACTGGTCCCTCCTGGCCACATGCCCAAAGTATGTGAGACAGAGCTTCAAAATCCTGGCTTCCAAGGAGAAACTTGGTTTCACCCTCTTCAAAACAGACCTGTTTGGTTTAGAGTGGAATAAAGGATTTGCTCCTGGATGCTGGTGGCCTAGCTCTCAGGGAGGTACCTTTATTGTGGTTCAAATCTACCCTTGACTCCTTGGGAGAAAGATGGGCAGTCTCCTCTCATGCAATGCACAGCCTCCCAGCAACCTGTTGGAAGGTCTACTAGGAGTTGGTTCTAACTCAGTGGCAATGAGTTTGTTGTTTTTTCTTCAACCAACCTAAAAGTTCTGGTTCAGAATCCCTTCATGCTTCCATAAACATTGCATGCAGGCGAATCCTGTGGGGCCGTTCTACTCCATAACAAGTGAGGCTGGCCAGGTGTCAGATGACTTGACGGCAGTGGCTGTTAGTGAATTTATAAAGCACCAATCTGCAGTGATGTTTAAGCTTTAAAAACATGGCAACACTTCTTTTATTGAGTTTTGTTAGAAGCCAACTTGTTTTATCTGCAGATCCACACAGCTGAAGCTCCATCTTTAAGTGCTAACCTGTCCGTTTCAACCTTTTTAATAGGGAATGTTTGCTTGCTAATAATAACTTGATTCTCCATCTTTTTAAGTAGTAAGCATACAATTCATTTTTTCTGCCTGCCCTCTAATGCAATGATGTCTTTGGAGAATCTAGGAGAATGTAAGGCTACTTGCCCCTTTCCTAACTAAATGCCTTCAGACTCCTTAAACAGAGACAGCCTATCTGTTTTTATAATTCCTCTGCTGTTCCTGTGGTGCCTCTTGTACTGGCCACTGTCTGGTCTCTCTCATCTGTATAACTTTCCGATTCTTGGGATTCTTGTTGTGCTAGATCTTGGGAAATCAGATGACACCCCTTGTCAAGATTGTCTTTTTACACTTAAAACGCAATAAATAGTTCTGACGATTTTAGGCTCTGGGTGTGAGCCTAATGGGTTATCTCTGAGCAAAGGTGTCCACTCTTAGAGAGTCATTCCCCTGAGGAGTTGCTGGTGGGCTCAAACCAGCAGAGAGGTGCTACTTGTGGGTTTGCTCTGCAGTTCCCTACAGACTACCCCAGAACACCCTATAACCAAGCTTGTATGTAAGTCCAGTGCCATACAGTCAAAACCAACTCATAGCTGACCGTCCAGTGGATTTTCAGAGACTATAAATTGCATGGGAGGAGAATTCCCATCTTTCTCCTGAGAAGCAGCTGACAGAATCCATCTACCTGCCTTTGGCACCTCCCTACCCACTTGGCCACCAGAGCTCCCAGTTAGTGAGTCTCTAATCTGTGCCAGGTGCTGTGATCAGGACTTTATGTACAGTATTGTGACAATTACTCAGATTAAGACTGTGAGGAGAGGCTTCTGAATATCAGCCCTATTACACAAGCAAGAAAAGCAGAATGTAATAAATAGCTTTTCTAAGCTTACACCAGTGAGAAAGAAAGTCTCCATACTGGTATTAGAGGTCAAGTCTCCTTCATGCCAGCGCTGGCCACTACTACCATGCACACTGCCTCTTTCAGAGGAGTCCCTGGGTGGTGCAAATGACTAAGCACTGAACTGACAAGTGGGCCATGATCCAAACCCACCCAACGCAAGCGGGAGGCAGGCCTGGCAAAGCTTCTGAAGGGTCACAGCCTTGAGAACTCCGTGGAGGAGTTCTGCTCTGCATACGTGGGGTCACCATGGGCTGGACTCAATGCAGTGGAAATTTACAGCAGCGTCTGAGGCTACATGTCAAAGAATTGCCTTTTAAATGGGGAACATGTTCATAATGAAAATTTATAATAATATACAATGCATCCTGCCTGCTAATACTAATAAAAGGCTGATTCCACGCTGTAAACGCTCAAGCTTATTTACTCTCAAGAAGATGAGATCACCAGGTTAGAGGGAGAAGTTTTGCAGCATGTTTAGAAATTTCTACTCTACCTTCAAAAACGACTTTCACAACTCTAGCTCACTAACATGGTGCTTGTTAATGTGCCATCAAGTTGACTACAACTCACAGTGACCCTCTGAACAGTATCTCTGAACCCTGCCCTGTCCTGAGCTGATCTCAGCATCTCTGACACATCTGCCCACATGGATAGATGTGTCCATCTATCTAATCTGGGCTCTTCCTCTCCTGCACTGAGCCTCTACCCTCCCAACCATGATGTCCTCCAAAGACTGGTCCCTGCTGGCAACATGCCCAAAGTATGTAAGATGGAGCTTTACTTCTTTTTTTAAAATTTAATTATTTTTTATGTGTGTTCTGTCAAATCGGATCTGACTAATACTGGAGGAGATTGCCCCTCCTTCTCCAGCATAGCATCTGGTGGATTCAAACCGTGCACATCTGGGATTGCAGTGTAGCTTCTTGCCACTAGGCCACCAGAGCACCCTTAGAGCTTTAAATTCTTCTTCTTTTTTTTTTTTTAATTAAGGAGCTTTAAATTCTTATAGGTGCACCTAATGGGACACATTCTCCAGAACTTTCTAGCAAAAGCACGGGGACTTCTTTGTACCTACAGTGTCTTCAGTGAATTTGGCTTTTGAGTTGTGGAGCAGGACCAGGATGAGGAGGGGGGCTGCCCCCTGGAAGTGCGAAGGGCAGCCAAATCTGCGTCATACAGCTGAGCCCGGAGCCACAGTGAGCTTATAAGGCAGAAAGCACACATGGTCTAAATCGTTTCTGAGACTCGCCTAACAAGGCTCCGCGGAGGACTGTAGCTATCATGTCCCTCCAAGGGTGGGTGAGCACCACGTGCTATGATGTAACTTGAAAGAAATCATCACACTTTAACAGTTTCTGCTCTTTAATGTTTTTGCACAATTATTACATGAAACAGTACTAGTTCTCTTATCACATATTACAAAGCAAGGTATGAGAAGATGATGTCTATTATCTAGAACAAGCCACGTCTGCAGCCACAGGTGTCTGTTGCCACCAGATCTGTGGAGTAGAAAGGATAAGGTCTCATAGACAGAGGAGTGTTTTTCAAAGATACATACCTGTTTACAAATGCACAGTGTTGGAGTGTGTGGGCGTGCAGTTTTAAGTCTCATTCCACCAAGCAAGTACCCCTTAACGGTTTGAAATCAGGCAGTGACATAAGAAAACTTGGCAAAGGGTATCCAAAAAGCTAGTGGAAGCTGAACAGTGTGTGGAACCCACCACACCCAGACATCCAGACAGTCCGGCTGCAGAATTGTCCTGAATGTGAAGCCTGAATCTTGGATCTGCTGTTTTGTAGGAAGTACTGAGAACTAATACATGATCTTTCAATAGCTTCTTTCACTACAGACTCGATTTCTGGTGCTTGACTCTAAGAATATCGGTTGACAGAGGCTACAAAAGGAAGGATGTGTACCATGGAGGGCTTGGCATGCCATTTTAAAGCCGTGGCTCATTCTGGAAGCAATAGCAAGTCACTGATGTTGTTAAGCGAGGAAGTAATAAGGGTATGTTTTTTTCATCAACACCACCAACCATAAGTCACAGGTTCCTGAAACACGGGCAGTGGCAAGTCCAGAGACTGAGAAGTAGAGCTTAACTAAGATCCTTTTGTTGTTGTTAGGTGCTTCTGGTTGTTTTTGTCTCGCAGTGACTCTCTGAACAATGAACAAAACACAGCCCGGTCCTCACTATCATTGGTCATGCTTGAGCCTCACTGTTATTTTGTAGCCCCCAAGGTGCAGTGGTTAGAAGTTTGGCTCAACTGAAAGGTTACCACTTTGGCTAGCAGCCCAGTGGCTTTGCTGGAGGAAAGACCTGGTGATGTGCTCCTGCAGAGTACAGTAGGCCAGGGCAGGGCTACTCTGCCTTCTCGGGTTGCTATGAGCCAACTGGGCTAACAGCCAACATCGTGATAAATGGAGACAAGATTGAAGTTGTCAAGGATTTCATTTTACTAAGATCCATAATCAATACTCATGGTAGTAGTCAAGAAATCAAAAGACATTTTGCATTGGGAAAATCTACTGTTAAGAACCTCTTTAAAGTGCTAAAGAGCAAGGATGTCAGTTTAAAGACTAAGACACACCTCACTCAATATTTCAATAACTTTCTATGCATGTGAAAGTTGGGTAGTGAATATGGAAGACCGAGGAAGAATTGATGCCTTTGAGCTGGTGAAGAGTATTGGATGTACAGTAGATTGCCAAAGAACAAATCTATCCTGGAGGAATTGGAACCATGGTGCTCCTGAGAGGCAAGGATGGTGAGACTCTGTTTCACGTACTTTGGACATGTTGTTAGGAGGGGCCAGTCTTTGGGAAAAAGATATCATGCTGGGAAAAAGTAGATGGCCAGTGGAAAAGAGGAAGACTCAACGGGATGGATTGGCACAGTGACATGAGGATGGCACAGGACAGGGCAAGGTTTCCATCTGTGGCTGGCATGGTTGCTGTGAGTTGCAATCAACTTGACAGCACCTGGCAGTGACAGCAGCACCATGGGCTAGAATCAGTGTGATGACACACATCACTAACAACAAAGCGGGGAAAGATAAGAGAAAGAGAGGGGCAGTAAAAGGAGATCCCCGGGCTTTAGCCTGTCTGCCTACAAGAATGGTAGTCCCTCTGACTGAGATGATTTGGAGCCAAATATTTCTATTTGGACATGCTGGTTTTCCCCTTGAAAATTAAACTTCTTATTTTGAGGCAAGTATAAATGCACATGCAGTTCTAAGATCTAAGACAGAGAGAGTCCATGTGCTCTTTACCCAGTTCCCCTTCATGGCTACATCTTATAAAATTAGCTCACTTATCTCAGGAAGAATATGAGCATTGATACCTCAAGGCGTAAAACACTTTTATCGTTAATAAAGTTGGCTTCGTCAAAATGAAAAGCTTTTGTTCTGGTCAAGACGCTGTTTTAAAAGATGGAGAGATATTACAGACTGGGAGAAAATAATTTGCAGAAAAAAATAATTTGCCAACCACACAACTAACAAAATGTTTCTATCTAAACTATGTAACCAACTCTCTAATATTATAAAACCCCCAACAAGTCAATTCAATTAGAAAATGAGCAAGAGACACGTACAGACATTTCACCAGAGAGGCTACATGGGAGATACACAAATAGGTACATGAGAAATGTTCCTACTAAGCTACTAAGACTGTCATCGCCTTTGAGATGAACAGCACAGACTCCTAGCTCCTGTGAGTGTGTGAAGGCAAGAAATTGTACAGGAGGAGACTGCTCATTTTTCTCCCTCGATGCTTCTGGTAGATTCACCTTGGGGTTAGCAGTGCAACTGCCCAGGGACTAGGTCACCTGAACCCTCCTCATTAGCCACTAAAGAAATTAAAATTAAAACCACAATGAGATAGCACTCTACACCTATCAAAACCAAAATAATGATCAAAACCAAAATGATGATCACAGCAGGTGCGGATGGTGCTACAGATCCACCGGGTCATTCATGGTCGCCTGAAGTAGTTGATCCCTTTAGAAAACGGCTCTTCAGTTCCTTTTAAAATGGAAAAGCTGACTTCCTCTAAAACCCAGTAGCTGCATTCTTGGTATTTCTCTCACAGATACGGAACTATTTTGTGTAGAATCATGCACCAAGATGTGTAGCGTTATTTGGAATTGCCAAAACACTAGGAGCTGCCCAAGTGTCCTTCAGTGGATGCATGGTGGTGACACAAAGTGGCATGTTCACACCCGCAATGGAAAGCAATGTACAAGATATGACTTGAATGAACTGCAAACAAATGGCGCTAATGGGAAAAAAAAAGAGCCAAGAACGAGCCTCAAACAGATACATATATCATGAATCTTACGTGTTATTGTTGCTATTGTTGGGTGGACGACAGAGCTGAGCCTTGCTCTACCCTGTGCGGTCCTCACGGTCTCAGAAATGCTCGAGTCCGTTGTTAGAGTCACTGTATGGATCCATCTCATTGAGGAGCTTCCTCTCTTTCTTGAACCTTCCACATTTCCCAACATGATACCTTTGTCCAGGACTAGCCCGATCTGACAGCATACCCAGAGTGTGTGAGATGAAATATCATCATCATTGCCTCTGAGAAGCACCCTTGTGCTCCCAAATAGCTATTTTGGCATCATTCATGAAATAACATAACTGTAAAGACGCAGGATGGATTTGTAAATGTCCAGAGACAGGGAGATGATGACCATGGCTATTAGCAGTGGCACAAGGGAACATTTTGATGATGATACAGTTACAAATTTTGAATGTGGTGGTTGTGCAAGGCTTCTGTGTGATAAAATGACAAAGAACTATGCACACAGACAGGAATGAAGGCGTGTAGAACTGGTGGAATAGACTCTGTGAGTTGAACCAATGTCAACATCCTGGTTTGATATCACACTATAGTTCTGTGAGACGATACCACTGGAAGATGCTGGGTGAAGGATTTACAACAACTTCCTGTACATTCTTTTGCACGTTCTGTGAACCCATAATTACTTCAAAATAAAAAGAAAGAAATCAGGCTGAAAGTCAGCATGACCGATCATGCAACAACATCATGGATACTACTGAGGGTTTTCCTGTCGCTGTCCCATAAATGAAGAGAATTGAGCATTTCCTTTACCAATTTTGTGCATTCACGAAGGAGCCAATTGGCATTTGTGTCCTGTGTTGCCTGAAGCTTAATTGTGTTATGTGCTTTAATTCCCTTTTTTACATAGTTGAACTATGTCACCCACTTTTCTTTCCCCCATGACAATGGTGCAAGTTTAATGGGTTTAACATGTCCTCTCTCTGTGTCACTCATCTCTTTGCTCATTCTTACTCTCCTGTGTTACAAGTTCTTTGTAAAGCTGCAAGCAAAAATGCATCTTTCCTCCTTCCTGCCTCATCCTATCTCTAGATTAGATGGGGATTTAAAACATTCTTAGTTACCATGACAGTTGCCCATCCTTCTCCTGCAGAGCAGCTGGTGGATTTGAACCACTCACCTTTAGGATTGCAGCCTAGCTTCTTAGCACTAGGCTGCCAGAGCTCCTTGAGTTCAAGCTAAGTAGTCCGTAGGAAGCTGTGCTGCTAACTTAGAGGCAGCCCCTCTCTGGTGGTTTGTATGCACTAGTGGTTCCAAGGGAGAAAGACAGGCAATCTCCTCCCATCTGACTTAGAGGTAGTCAGAGGGTCAGCTGTGAGTCAGTCCTGATTTGGTGGCAAAGAGTTTGAGTTCTTGTAGACCTTAAATGTAACTTACTTATTTGGTGTTCCAAGCTTTATTGTAGCATCATAAGATTGAGCACCCAGCCACTTGAGAAGTGTCTTGAGGTTCAAAGCAGTTAAGAAATCCTAGGATCTTCTTGTCTTTTTCCCCCATGAGGACAACCTTGTATTCATTAAGTTGGGAAGAGATAAGGAGAAATATCAAAATCACATAAATCTGTTCTTTGAAATATCTGTCTGTCCATTTATGCCCATCGCTTAAGCAACACGAAAATGTAGTCATTTTTAATAATGTTAAATAATCCAAAAAGCCAAGCTGGCCACATTTTTGAACAGTGGCAGAAAACCCATACATAATGTTGGCAGAACATGACAGTGAAGAGGTTATGGAAAACAAGAATCTGTTTATGGAAGACAAGAATCTGTTTATGTCCAATTGGAACACATCATTTCTCAAAGTTGATAGAAAAAGAAATGGGATGAGAACATCTTGAAGCTGCTGCTGAAAGACAGCATCACCTCCCAGCTGTAGAGAGAGACAAACAGCGAGCTTAGTCCTCTGTTAGCTAGTCAGTCGGTATTATATGACTCTCTCACTGTCATCGAATCAGAACTGACTCACCGCCGACCCTCCAGCAGGTTTTTAGAGGCTGTAAATCACACGAGATGTGATTGCTCATCCTTCTCCTGTGGAATCACTGGTAGATTTGAACGGCCAGAGAGCTGCTGCCTTTGAACACCTCCCTATGGACTGAGCTACCAGTTGTTGAGCACCACCGAGTCAACTACGACTCTTAGAGACTCTTTGAACAGTGGCTCTAAACCCTGCACCGTCCTGTGCCGTCCTGACCATCTCTGGCATATACATACCCACTATTACAGTCACTGTGTCAATCCATTTTGTTAGGAATCTTCCCCTCCTTCACTGACTCTCCACCTTTCCAAGCATGATGTCCTTCTCCAAGGACTGGTCTCTCCTTGGCTCCAAGGAGCCCTCTGGCTGCACTTTCCCCCCAAGATATATTTGTTTGCCCTTTTGTCAGTCCGTGGGATATTTGGTGAGCTCCCTCAGTATATTTGTTGGTATTGTTATGTGACTCGATAGCTCGTAGTTGACCCTACAGTGGTTTTTCAGAGGCTGTAAATGGCATTGTAAGAGATTACTCATCTTTCTCCCTTGGAGCAACTAGTGGATTCAAACCATGTGCTTTTGAGTTGACAGCACAAGTCCTTACCCATGAGGCCACCAGAACTCCCTCACTGAGTGAGAAGAGTAAAATGTATCCCCTTAACTGGGCCCCTAGTTCCCCACTGACAAGGTTCTTAGGGCTTCTGTGACAACTAGGATTACTGTGTTCTGAGGTCAAGAGCCCCCGGGTGAAAACATACCTATTCATCTTTGGAGAGAAGATACTTTGTTGTGTTCTTGATATAGCGCCTTGAATTCTTAAAGAGGGGAGGGGAGAAAAAGTTAGATTGATATTAATGGTTAGTGGCAGAGTGCTAGTCCCAAAGCCAAAGCTTTAAATCCCAAGGCTGGCTAAGAAAAAGGCCAAAAGACCAAAGAAAAAGACCAAAGCCAGCAATTGGTATTTTAACACCCTGAAGATTACATTTCCCTCTGGCAGGCCCATTCCTAAGTGAAGCCAATCAACCACGAACTGAATCATATTCCCATCCTTTTCTTTGCGTGTCTACCTTCAGCTTTTCCGTATAAACTTGTTGTTGTTGTTGTTGTTATGTGCCGTCGAGTCGTTTCCGACTCATAGCGACCCTATGCACAACAGCCCTAAACCCTGCTCTATCCTGCGCCAACCGCACTGCCTCTGACACACCCATCCCAATTACCCTAGTCACCGAATCAATCCATCTCATAGAGGGTCTTCCCCTCCTGCGTTGTCCCTCAACCCTCCCAAGCATGATGTCCCTCTCCAAGGACCCGTCCCTCCTGGCAACATGTCCAAAGTATGTCAGACGAAGCCCCAGAATCCTTGCCTCCAGGGAGTAGGTTGGTTTAATCCTCTCCAAGATAAATCTGTTTGTTTTCCTGGCAGTCTAGGGTACACTCAGTACCCTTCTCCAGCACCACAGCTCAAAAGCATCCACTCTCCTTCTGTCCTCCTTAGTCATTGTCCAACTCTCTGATGCATAACAAGCGATTGCAAATACCATGGCCTGTATCAGGCGCACCTTAGTCTCCAGAGAGACACTGTTGCTCCTGAGTACTTTAGAGAGGTCCCCAACTTTCCCATTGCGATACGCTTTTTGATTTCCTGACTGCTGGTGCCAAGAGTGTTGACTGGGGAGCCGAGCAAACTGAAGCTGTGAACAATCTCAATCTCTTCGTCATCCATCCTGACGCTGCCAATTGGTCCAGTGGTGAGAATCTTTGTCTTCTTGACATTGAGCCTCAGTCCATACTGAAGGCTGCAGTCCTTGACCCTTCGCAGCAAGTGCATGAGGTCCTCCTCAGTTTCAGCAAGCAGGGTTGTGTTATCTGCATAACGGAGATTGTTAATAGACCTTCCACCAATCCTGATGCCACAATTCTCCTCATAGAGCCCAGCCTCTCGGATAATCTGCTCTGCATACATGTTGAAAAGGTATGGAGACAGGATGCATCCCTGGCGTACACCCTTCCCAATTTTGAACCATGCAGTGTTACCCTGCTCTGTTCTGACTACTGCCTCTTGGTCCAAGTATAGGTTTCGTATTAGCACAATTAAATGTTCTGGGATTCCCATTCTTCTCAGAGTCAGCCATAGTTTGTTATGATCCACACAGTCAAATGCCTTTGCATAATCAATGAAACACAGATAGACATTCTTCTGGTATTCTCTGCTTTCAGCCAAGATCCAAAAGGACACATAACAGCTTTGCAGCCAAGGCGATTTCTTTAGCTGCTTGTTTGGGCTGTCAGCCGGTTGCTTTGGGTGGTTTTTGATTTGTTGCTGCTTCACAGATGAGGCCCTCAGCCGCCCTCCTCAGCCTCTCGTTCGGAGCCTCTCTTTCCCTCCGAACACAGGGTCTTTGTGTGTGTCTGGAAGAAACCCAGGAGCCCACTTGCCTGCCAATCTTTCTCAGTTGCCCTGCGGTCATAGTGGGGTTTGCGATCTCCAAGCCGCTTCAGAATGCCCTGGTTTTCCACGGTGATTCTCACCAGCTCCCGATTCCTTGTTTCTCGGTTTAAGCTGAAAAACACAAACCCCTGAAATGAGTAAAGAGGAAGACTTACTCTCTGCATAGGAGTTGGGGAACAGAGGACGTCATGACATCTCAAATGCAGGCTGCCTCAGGTTGGGGGGTACCTCTTCCCCCTGAACCTGGAAATCTTACATACCTCACTCACTCTAACCTCAGTATCCAACTATTGAACCAGACTGCACTTTGGGAAACAAGTAAAGGATTTTCAGGATGCTGTGGGAAAATCTTGAATGATGCAGGAAGCATCAAAAGAAGATGGAAGAAATACACAGCCATCACCACAACAAGATAAAGGTAAACAATCCAATTGAAAAATGGGCACAGGATATGAACAGACACTTCATTAAAAAAGACATCCAGATGGCGAACAAACACATGAAAAAATGTTCAAAATTCCTAGCTCCAAAAGAGATGCAAATCAAAACAATTATGAGATATCATCTTACTGTAGTAAGAATAGCAAAACTTAACAGCACAGCAAACAACAAATGCTGGCAAGGTTGTGGAGAAACTAGAACCCTTATTCACTGTTGGTGGGAGTGTAAAATGGTGCAACCACTATGGAAGGCAGTACGGTGCTTTCTCAAAAAGTTGGAAATAGAAATACCATTTGACCCAGCAATTCCACTACTGGGAATATACCCTAAAGAAACCAGAACTGCCACCCAAGCAGATATATGCACACACCTGTTTATTGCAGCTTTGTTCACAATAGCAAAGAGTTGGGAACAACCCAAGTGCCCATCAACAAACGAATGGATAGAGAAGCTGTGGTATTATTCACACAATAGAATACTATGCTGCATTGAAAAAAAAGGAACTCATGATATATTATAAAAAATGGGTGACCCTGGAGGACATTATGCTGAGTGAAATATCTCAGTCACAAAAGGCCAAATACTGCACAGAGCCACTGTTGTAAAGTGGGACTGACATTGGGGTTGGGTAGAAACTAACAGAGGATAAATAATGTATACTTCATTGAAACACATGAGAGTGAGAACTGTTTAGTAGGAATATATGATTAGGTGTTATTGTCATGACAAGAGTCCAGAATGAAAGCTGCATAGTGGAGTGGACTGGGGGGGTGGAGGGGATTGTATAACAATGAAAGAATTTTTTTCCTTTTACTTTTCAAAGAGAAAAACAAACTGGGGGGAGGTGTGGGCAGAGAAGTAAGTGTGCAACAATGAATGAATGGAAATCCAAAGTCTCTGTAAACTTTCATGAAAATAAATTTAAAAAAAATACAGTAACTGAATTAAGAAGAGTTGGTTGACACTGAACCTCTTCAGGAAGTAACATATGATCAAGAACCAATGGTAATGAAGGAAGTTCAAGCTGCCCTGAAGGAATTGGAAAAAACTGAGGCCCTAGGAATTGATGAAATACCAATTGACGTGTCAGGAAATAGACGCAGCCCTGGACTTACACACTTATGCCAAAAAATCTGGAAGACAGCTACTCAGCCAACTGACTGACTGGAAGACATCCACATTTGTTCCCATTCCCCAAAAATGTGACCCCCCAGGATGTGGAAATTATTAAATAATGTTACTATCACAAGCAAGTAAAATCTGGCTAAAGATTATCTTAAAAACAGCTGGTACAGTACATGGGAAGGGAACTGTCAGAAATTCAAGCTGGATTCAGAAGAGGCCATGATATAAAGAATATAATTTCTGATGTCAGATGAATCTTGACCAAAAGTAGGGAGTATCAGAGTGGTGTTTACATCTTGACTATGAAAAGGCATTTGATTGTGTGGATCATAACAAATTATGGGTAAGATTCAGAAAAACAGGAATCCCAGAACATTTAATTGTGCACATGAGAAACCTATGTATAGACCAAGAAGCAATTTGGCAAACAGAACAAGGGACCATCGTTTAAAATCAGGAAAAGTGTGTTTCAGGGTTGTAGCCTTTCTCCACACCTATTTAATTTGTTTGCTGAACAAATTATTTGAGAAGCTGAACCATGTGAAGAAAAACATAACTTCAGGATTGGAGAAAGACTCAACACCCTGTGTTACACAGATGACACAACCTTGTTTACAGAAAGTGAATAACATTTAAAACACTTCAGAAGATCAAAGACTACAGCCTTCAATAGAAATTATATCTCAGCATCAAAACCCCAAAAATCTTCACCACTGGACCATTAGGCAACATCCTGGTAGATAGAGAAAAGACTGAAGTTGTCAGTGACTTCATTTTACTTGGATCCACAATTAACATGCAGGGTAGTAGCAGTGAAGAAATCAAAAGCTGTATTGCATTGGAAAAAAAAATCTTCTATCAATGACTTCACCAAAGTACCATATAGCAAGGATATCCGCTTAAAGACTAAGGTGTACCTAATCCAAGCCATGGTATTTCTAACTGAAAGTTGGACAATGGAAAAAGGAAGATCAAAGTAGCGCTGCCTTTAAATGATGGCATTGGTGAAGAGTATCAGATATTCCATGGGCTGCTAAAAGAGCAGACAAAGCTGTTTTGGAGGAAGTACAATCAGGGTGCTTGCTGGTTGATGAAACTGGGTCTCATGTCCTTTGGGCATGTTTTCAGCAGGGGTTAGTTTGTGGGAAAAGACCTCATGCTGGGAAAGGTGGAGGGAGGGCCAGCAACATGGAGGATGACCCTCAAGGAGACGGGATGACAGAGTGACTCTAACAGTGGGCTCGCGTCATGGTGCAGATCGTGAGGACGCACAGGAGGGGGCAATGGTCTGATCTGTTGGCCATTGGTCGCCCTCAGTGGTAGGAAGCTTGATGGTCCCTAATAACAACAACGTGATCTTCTGACGCCCCGTTGGCTAATGCCCCGTAAGTAACACTCCTTTTGGCAGTACTGGCGCTAACGTGCAACAAGAAGCTGAGGCATTTCGGAAATGAAATAAAGTAGAAGGACGCTACCTCTTGGATAAGTATTCGTTCCAGCAGTCCACCCTGGCAGGGCCGCGATGGGCATCGGCGATTTTCTGACACAGCTGCTTGTTCTCATATTCAATTTTGTCGATTCTCTTTTGTTCACCCTGGTAAGAAACCCCATGCCATCATAGTGATATCGTTGCTCCAGCATATGCTGACTTAGCAATCACGCTTAACTGGGGAGGGGGCAAAGGGGCAAACTGGCCACTGCAGAGGTTGGAGTAGAGCTTAGAAAACTAGGGGTGAAGTGGCAGGCTTGTCATAAACGCTTGGGTTGGGTGGGTATTTTGAAGACTCTGGGAAATGGAATCTCTCTTAGGACAGAGATCATTAATCAACCACGATGTTTATGGTCTGTTCAAATCTGACCCATGGTGATCCCATGTGTGTCAAAATAAAAAGGTGCTCAGCGCCCTTTTAAAATGGCTGATTTTGGGGGCTCTATTGTCTGGCCTTTCATCCGAGGTGCTTCTGAGTGGACCCGAACTGCCAACCTTTCACTCAGTAGCTGAATGCATTAACCACTGACACCATTCAGGGACTACAGGATATAAAGTATTAAAATGCATATATAGATGGTGAGAACAAATACCTGTAGTTTGCTCAATTTTAAAATGTGATGTGTATGTGCCACTGGAGGTTTGGTATCAACAGCAGGCTTCACTAGAGAAGAGGGACAGAAAGAGTCATGTTACATGACAAGAGTCCTCAGCGCATCCACAGCAAACCTGCTTGCATGCTAGAGAAGGCCAACAGCTTAACAGTACAGCTTTGGAGTCTAGCTTTACCCAGCTCAAGAATTTCAGTTTGGCTTATTACTCAAGTGGGTATCTTTGACAAGTTCTGAGCCAGAAAGAAAGAATGGTGAAGACTAGAAAAAGACATTTTTACAGTGAGAAAGGTCCTTCTAATTTTACAAAAGAGCCTTCTCCCACTGCCTCCCTATGCACTACTAGGCTGTCTACTGGGTACTAATGCCCTCTTGTTTTTCTAAGTTACTTTGACTTTAAAGAGTTTAATGAATGCTTCCATCAGTTGAACTCTCTGGCGTAAGACCAGTTTTATCACTGATGCTAATATCTGCTCAACTAAACCCAGCACATTGGGTTTATCATCACAGGTCTGTATACCAGTCTGGTTTACTGTCAAGATCTTTATGGTGGACCCATCTTAGAGTGATAGCCAGCTAAGTGGCCCACATACCTATTTGCATTCTATTCTTGTGAGATAAGTAGTGGCCATAGTCCAGTTTCCTCCTGAAGTTCGTACTTTGCCTGTGGTTAGAGACGATGACAGGGTAGGCCAGGTAATCCAGGGAATTGTTCATCTTCTCTTCCTAATCTCACTTCACATATGAGGCATCCCAGTTTCCTCTGTGATGTGTTTGACCTTCCCATAAAAGGTTGTCATAGTTACCCTGTTATGACATCAGGGACTGGAGACAGGCAAGACACCTGCCTGGCTGTCCCTGAGCTTCTATCTTGGACTCCAGCCTAACACAAATCAGGATGATGGGCAAGGGACTAGGCTGCTTTTCTATGTGTTTGGTCTGCAGGTGTCACCAACCTTGAAAGGTGTCCTGGGAGGGGGATAGAAGATCCCAGGTAATGAAATTCTGGCATATCTGGGGTTATAAATGGAATAGTCTCTCCAGCAATGGTTTTGCCTTTCGGGGAATAAAAAATGACCTTAAGATAATCAGAACTAGTGTATTCGTATTGCAGAGAAGACAGTTAAAAATTCAGAGCAGAACTCAGAAGCTCAAGAAAACAAAGCAAGTTAGAGGCAGAGCAAGACTAGTATATGGGTTTCCTGAATTCCAGGGACCACATTTGCCCTTTTAGGGAAAGTGCCTCCGTTTTCCTGGCAACGGGAGAGGGTGGCTTTCTTCAAGGACAGAGTCTGGGTTTTGTACACAGTGGGAGCTCAATAACTCCAGAACCGTGGATGCTGTGTGACTCAGAGTAGGCTGGATGCAGCTCCAGAGGGTGGCCTGATTCAACTTCAGCTTACACAAGATGGGACAGACAGTAGGGGTTCAAAACATTTGCTGATGAAGAAAAAAAGAGCACTCACTATGTCCTGCTTTCCTTGTCACATTTAATCTTTTTTAAAATTTATTATTTCAATGAAAATTTACAGAGACTTTGGATTTCCATTTATTCATTGTTGCACTTTTCCTCCCTCCCAACCCTCCCCCTTAGTACACTACCCTCTTGGAAAAATAAAAACTCATTGTTTTACAATCCCTGCCTTCAGGTCCACTCCACTACGCAGCCTTCACTCTGGACTCCTGTCATAACAAAAATACCTAATCACATATCCCTTTTAAACCGTTTTTCCCTTCATCTGTTTCAACGCAGTATACACTATTAAACCCATCTTTCTCAGTGTTCCCCCAACCCCGAGGTTAGTCCTGTTTTACAACAGTGGCACCATGCAGTATTTGTCCTTTTGTGACTGAGATACTTCACTCAGCATAATGTCCTCCAGGCTCATCCATTTTGAATAATATTGCATGAGTTCCTTGTTTTTCAATGCAACATAGTATTTCATTGTGTGAATATACCACAGCTTCTCTATCCATTCGTTTGTTGATGGGCACTTAGGTTGTTTCCAACCCCATGCTATTGTTAACAAAGCCGCAATAAACATGGGTGTGCAGTCACATTTAATCTTAACAACCCCATTATTATCCCCATTTTTCAGCAGATTGAAACTCTGAAAGCCTCATTTTCTGAGGTCCGAATTCCAAACTTCTCAGTGCACCTCAGAGCAGGAACCACAATGGGTTTCTTCAGGTGCATGTTCTGACTAGGCTGGTCTGGGCTCAGCAGAGCCTCTGAATTTCTAACAAGCTGCCAGGTACCGGCCCCTATCCGAGTTAGAGCTCAGAGACAAAAGCCGGGGTCCCTGTTGTACTAAAAGTTGAGCGACGTGTGGATGCACCCCCGTCAGTCGCAGCATTTATTGCGTCCTGCATTTGGGCCCCAAACTCCAGAGTGGCAGGACTGCCGCCGAGGGGAGCAGGCCCAGGGGTCTTGCGGAACGTCCTCCGGGCGCCCAGCAGCGCTGTGTCGCTGCAGCGTGGAGCGATGGTGTCTGCTGACGCTGCTGCGCCTGGCGCTCCGCAACTTCCCGCGCGCGCCGAGGCCCGCCTCCGGGGCGGGGCGGGGCGGGTCTCGGCGCGGAAAACCCGGCCCAGCTGACCCGGAGCTGGGAGCCCTGGCTCGCTTCTGCCCCAGCGTGCAGGGTTCGGCCGCCGCCATGGCGGGCCCGTGCGAGCTCTCAGTGCAAGACCTCAACGATCTGCTCTCGGACGGCAGTGGCTGCTACAGCCTCCCGAGCCAGCCCTGCAACGAGGTCACCCCGAGGATCTACGTGGGCAACGCGTGAGTCCCCCCACCCCGGCCCTGGCCTTCGGCCTCTCCCCGGGAGCCCCGCCCACTGGAAAGCCGGGGCTCTGGGTGTTGGGAGGCGCCGGGCAGGGAGCCCGGGGGTGGCGTCCCTCTCGGAACAGTGACGGGGCAGGGAAGGGGCCCGAGGCAAAGCCCCGCGCGTCGGATGGCAGGACCGGGCCCCACCCCGGACAGCGCCCGCCTCCGTGTGTTGGGTGTGTGGGATGCATAGAGCTTTGGGGACTTGGGGCCCCTGAGCGAGCGACCCGGCCAGCTCAGCTGCAGGCCCGAAGCTGCCACCCGCCAGGGGCTCGGCCTTGGGCGGTGTCAGCCTTCCGTGTTCATGGAACAGGTGGTCCGCCGTCGCCCGGCCGGTCTCCTGCCTGCACGTCATGTGACAGCTGCCTGGCTCTGCAGTGAGGTCATCGCGGAATGTCTGCCTTCGCTGCCATGGCAACGGGCTGACGTCACAATCGTGCTTGGAACTTTCCGGCGAGGCGAGCAGCCTCAGCCCTGGGAATCTCACTAACCTGGGGTCGCTTTCCTCTTCTCTCCTTTTGCTTTCCAGAGAGGTTTGATTTACGTGGGGTTCTCGAATGATAAACCTCATGAGCCATCAATCACCTAGTAAAGGCTCCCTCACTGCCAGGAAATACAGTTATTATTTATTACTTCCAAGTTCCTATTACCAGGATAGGAACATTTTCCTGTTAATCAAACTGTCAAAAAGAATTTCTCAGTGACAGGAGATCCAGGATCAACCATTCTGAGAGGTCCTTGTCTTACTTGTCTAATGCTGTGATAAGAGAAACCACAAGTGGGTGGCTTTAACAAACAAAATCATTGTTACAATTTAGGATACAAGATACAAGTTCAAGTCCAAGTTCCCGTTCTAGCCAACAGGGTCCCTAGGGGCCAGCTCCAGCTGTTATTTCTTGGTCAAGCCTCCCTTCTCAGCTTTCCTTCCTCACCTCTCACCTCTCTATTACTGGCCACAACCCTAAAGGGACTCACTCTCCAGGTATCTCATTAAGGCTATGATGGGATTAGGGAGTGCTGCATTCCCCCCTTAATTGTCCTGCAGCTATTTGGTTTATCAGGATCATGGGGGGAGGTGATTATGTAGCTTCCACATAACATCATTATGCACAAGTCTTTTGGCTAACCCAATTCAATCCCTGAAGGTATGGAAATGCAGCCAATACAAAGAACACATGAGCATGTGTTACAGCTGGGACCAGGAGAACCGTTACCAACTTTCTAAGTTCCAAAGGGTCAAGGACTGTGTATTGGAAACCAAGAACTTACCCAGCCGCGCTCATTTCACACTGAAGCTTGAGGGACTGTGTGTCCTCCCTCCGTGCCATGTCAGTCCTTGCCACTGAGCTTGTCAAGGACTTTAAGTGGGGCAGGGGGCCTCGTTTCATGTGTGATATGTCTTATCCGTCATTCACTCACCATATTGAGTACTTAAACTGTGCCTCACCAGTTTGCTCCTAGGAGGCAAAGATTTTGAAAGTCTGTTTCACATACTCTGAGCATGTTCCCAGGAGGGACCAGGCCTTGGAGAAGGATATTATGCTTGATTGACAGGGTAGAGGGTCAGCACAAAAGAGGAAGACTGTGGATGAGATGAGTTGACACAGTGACTGGCAGTGGGATCAGCCATGTCAGAGATGAGAGGTTAGCTCAGGACAGGGCAAGGTTCGGAGCCCTTGTATTCACCTCCACAGCACATAGCGGCAGCTGTGTCAGACGCTGTAGGACACTCACTACTAGTAGTAATGATAACACTGGGCAATTTGCTGACTGTTGAATTCGTTTTAGAGAATGGGGATGAATGGGAGTGGCTCTTCAAAGCGAGTTATTTTAGTGTTGTCCTTTCTTTTGATCCTTGCTTTATAATCGTGTACAGTATTGTGTGAGCAAAAATCCCAACATTTTTTATATTGACTGACCTCCACCGCCCCCACTCAAGCAGCAAGAGGCCTTTTGACACAAGACGGAAGCCTATTCCTTAGGACACTTTGCATGTTTAGCATGGAGTGAGCTGGCCAGACGCTACTGTCACCACATCCTCGGTGGCGACCAAGGTGGTGGGGAACCTCTGCTGGATGCCGGAGTGGAAAATTCTAGAAGCCACTCTAGAAAACTGTCTTGCCCACATATGGAAGTTGGACCCTGAATCAGAATGAATGAAGACGAATTAGTGCCTTTGAATTGGGGTTCTGAAGACTTTTAAGTGTCCCATGGAATGCCAAAAGAAAAAATAAATCTGTCTTGGGGAAATGCATCGTGGTGCATGGATGGTGGAACTTCGTCTCGCACACTTTGGGCATGTTGTCAGAAGGGGCCAGTCTTTGGAAAAAGACAGTGCTGAGAAAGGTGTGGGGTCATAAAAAGAGAGGAAAACCCTCAGAGATGGATAGACACTGGCCTATAACAGTGAGCTTGGGCATAGTAGAGGCCCTGAAGATGGTTTACAAATAGGGCAGGGTTCAGAGTTGTTGTTCATAGAGTTGCTATGAATTGTAGTCTACTCAATGGCACCTAACCACAACACTTCTGTTAGGGAAACGTGGCCTTGACTGGGAGGGAGGTTTGACCATTGCTGAGATGACTTGAACTTCCCCACTCACTGAGAGCCCCTTAGTAAAACTAGGACTCTCTGTTCATCGCCTTATTAGGCAGCAGGCCTGCACTCCTCTGGCCTTTGATCTGAGTTGGGGGCTGGGAAGACTGCAGGCTGGCTGTCAGGACACCTTCTGCTCTTCGTACTGCCCCTTGACAGAATGAGCATGGCCCTGTCCTTCTGTCTGTCCTCTCAGGGCCAGAGTTGAGCTCTGTTGGGTGGAGATATTGCCATCCCTCCTTTTTGGTGGCGCACATGGGGTAGGCAATCTAAATAATTTATAAAAAATACTGCATAAAGTATAAAGTGCCCATTGAACTGAGATAACACCATGAAAGGAAGTAAAGGGACCACTCAGATCATGTAGTTTGTAATTTCCGCAGTCCTGCCGTTGGGGATGAGGAGTGAGGGGGTCACTTTCTCCCCTAGTGCTAACATCCAGAAAAGCTCTAGAAACTTGGCTGGTGGAGGTAGGCGGGAAGGAGAGAGGACCCCCGCCTGCCTGGATGTGCCCCTTTCCTCCTCCGCTCATCAGCCCAGGTGTGCTCAGCGCCTTCAGTGTGCCACGTCCTGAGTCGGTGCTGGGGGTGGAGACCTGAAGCCACCACGGTTCCTCTCTCCTGGAACTCACAGCCTGGCCATCGAAACTAACCAGCACAGCAAAGTGTCTGAATAGTACCCCAACCCCAAGGTCATCTGTTGTCACGCTTCTGATTCACGTTGACTCGATAGGACACAGGACTGCCCTGTTGAGTTTCCAAGGCTGTAGTCTTTACAGAAGCCGACTTGCCACATCTTTCCCCAACCCCCCAGAACTACTGGTGGGTCTGGCCTTTTTTGCTTAGCAGCTGTGAGCTTAACTGTTGCGCCACCAGGCCTGCTAGTTTGAATAGTAGCTCATACTGTTGTGTGTCAGACCCTGTCCGTGAATTGCTCACCTAACACTCCGTACAAGTGCAGGGAGTGAGTAGGTACGTTACAATTGTTCCTGTTTTGTTGGTGAAGGAAACTGAGGTGCAGGAAAGTTAAGTAACTTGCTCAAGGTTCCCTGGCAGGTAAAGTGGCTGAGCTTGACTCAGACCCCAAGCAGCCCAGCGCTAGACTCTGTCTTGAATCACTATTATCTAAGAATATGATACCAAATGGGGTGGAGGGAAGCTTGAGGTGGAAGATCAAGGGTGCATGTCTGCAGAGAAGGTGGGAGAGAGCGCTTCAGACAGAGGGACCGGAACAGTGCCCAGTCTATTTGGAGAAGCTGCCGGTTATTCGATAGGGCTGAAGAGGAGCAAAGGTCATAAGATGAGGCTGGAGAAGGTGGCAGGGGCTGGACTCTGGAGAGTTTGCTTGCATGTCGCGAGGCTTAGTTTCTTCCCTATCTCCTCCTGTCTCAGCCTGCAAGTTACCTATTTATCATCCTTTGTGTTATTTCCTGTCCAGATCGGTGGCTCAAGACATCCCTAAATTGCAGAAACTTGGCATCACCCATGTCCTGAATGCTGCTGAAGGCAGGTCCTTCATGCACGTCAACACCAGTGCCAACTTCTACAAGGACTCTGGCATCACCTACCTGGGCATCAAGGCCAACGACACCCAGGAGTTCAACCTCAGCGCCTTCTTTGAAAAGGCTGCAGATTTCATTGACCAGGCCCTGGCTCAAAAGAACGGTAAGAGGCCAGCGGGCCCTGAAAACAATGTATATGAGGCAGCTGGGGCTGGACTGTCCTAGACAACAATCCCATGCAGACCTTCCTCCTGGAAACCCTCCAACGTCCCCTCTCGGGGTGAGTGAGTGAGAGCGCTCTACTCACTCGCTGTTGTGGAGTGCCCTGTATATGGTACATGAGGCCATCAAGGAGTCCTTGTGCTTGATGGATTGTGCCTGAGGGTTGTTTGTAGGCACTTATAAAATGCTCTCTGTAGCTCCTGCACTTAAAGTAAATCTGAAGCGGCTACTGAAACCCTAGAAGGCCTGAGGGCAGGCAGCAGCTGGGCTGCCTTCTGCTTTTAGTTTTTTCTCCCTTTATCTTTTCCTCCTTCCTACAACCTCCACTCACTCCCTCCCCCCTCATCCCTCTGGGGAGGTGATACAGCCCAACACCCACAGAGACATTGATTTTGTGGCCCGTGCTTAGCCTGTCTACTACACTGATGCTTCTGTACCCAGCAGCCTCACCCTCCGAATGATTTCCAGTAAACCAGGTTTACTAGACTCATGGTCAAGACCTAGGAGACCATGGAATTATACTGTCAGGTCCTTTACAGTCTTGTCACCCCCATCCTAGCCCAGCTCCCTCCACTCCATCAGCATTGGACTCCGCCTTCTGTATCGATGGAGAACCAGGGTCCAGCTTGGGGAATGTGCTTAGCTCTTCTCTCTTTTTTTTTTTTTTAATTTATTTTATTTCATTATTTTTTGTGTGTATCGTCAAATCAGATCTGACTGATACAGGAGGAGATTGTTCCTCCTTCTCCAGCAAAGCATCTGGTGGATTTGAACCATGTACCTCTTGAGATTGCAGTGCAGCTTCTTGCCACTAGGCTAGCAGAGCTCACCAGCTCTTCTCTTAATATACTGACTTGCTAGCTTGCTGTGGCCTGAGCTCTCTGGCTTGGTTTCCTCTCTCCACTTGACTTCTTTTTTTTTTTAAATAATTAATTTTAATGAATGTTTACAGAGACTTTGGATTTCCATTCATTCACTGTTGTACTTTTCTCCCTGCCTACCTCTCCCTCCCAGATCGCTCTTCTCTTTGAAAAGTAAAAGAAAAATTCTTTCATTGGTATACAATTCACCACCATCACAATTCACTCCTCTGTGCAACCTTCATTCTGGACTCTTGTCATGACCATAATACCCAATCATATATTGCTTTTAAACAGTTCTCTCCCTCATCTGTTTCAATGCAGTATACATAATTTATCCAATCTTTCTCAGTCTCACCCCAACCCTGATGTCAGTCCTGTTCTACAACAGTCCACGTGACTTTTTCATGACTATGACTAAGACGCACCCTAGTCTTGAAAGTGACACATCCTTGCTCTGTAGCACTGTACAGAGGTCTTGGACACCAGATTTTGTTTCATTTCTTGACTGCTGCTTCTGTGAATGTTGATTGTGGATCCAAGTAAGATGAAGTTCTTGACAACTTCAGCCTTTTCTCCACTTATCATGATGTTTTACCCTTTTGTAAGGGTTTTTTTCTTTATATTGAAGTGTAATCCATACTGAAACTGCAGTCATTGAGCCAGATAGTGAACAACCAGCAAGTTAAAATTTAAACCTAGGTTCATGTAACTTCAAACATTTGGATTCTAAATCCTGCGCTGACAATGGAACTACTTGATGGGCTCATAGAGTACGGAAGGTCTGGTGCTCTACAGGGTATGGAGTTGTGCTATCAACCCAAAGGCAAACAGTTCAAATCTATAAGCTGCTCCATGGGAGAAAGACAGGTACTTTCTTCCTGCGTGATTTATAGCCTCTGAAAACCCACTGGAGGGTCAGCTATGAGTCAGTTCTGATTCAGTGGCAATGAGTGAGGGATGAGTTTTCCAGCAGCCGCCAGGGAGAGAATATTTTGTATGAAAGGAACAATATGCAAAGGCAGAGAGCTGAAGAAAACAAAAGCAAGCCGCGCCTTGTTGTTGCGTACCATTGAGTCAGAACCGATCCACAGCGGACCCCCAGCTGGTTTTAGAGGTTTTAATCACATGGGAGGAGATTGCCCGTCCTTCTTCCCCAGAGCAGCTGGTGGATTCGAACCACCTGCCTTTGGGATTGCTGTGCAGCTTCTTGCTCCTAGACTACCAGAGCTCAGAGACCTGTCACCAGGAAAGGTGTGTGGATTGGTGGTGGTGAGGGTGGAGCAAGAGAGCTCAGTTTGGAGATGGTGCAGGAGAGAAGTGCCAAGGACCCCACGGGGTGGGAATGGAGAGAAGCAAGCCTCGTGGCAGAGCTCTTGGGACCCCTGAACTCCTCTTAGATTGTGTCTGAAGTTTTGGGGTAGACCAGATGGTGAAGAGATCTGTCATAACTCTGTGTGATGAAGATTGAAAAAACAGTATCACACTCAGAAAAACAGTATCACACTCAGTGTCACAATAGGAGAGAATAGGAATAATTAGTTTACAGTTGGTGTCAGAGAAAACACACACCTATCACTCTAAGCATTTCAGTGCATTTCTTTTCATAAACATGAATATATGGGTACACATTCTCACTGGGCGTGTACCTAGGAGTGAGTTATTGAGCAGTAGGGATGCATGTGTCCAGCTTTAGCAGATACAGCCTCAATTTTCCAAAGTGGTTGCACCAGTCAACATCCCCACTAGCCACGTGTGAGAGTTCCAGTACCACCTCCCACCAACACTTGTGTGGTTTGCATTTTAGCCATTCTGATGGATTACATTGGATTACATTTCATGGACTAGAGTTGTGATGTGACTGGACAGCCCAGCTCATATTGCTTCTCTATTGCTTCTAGGCCGGGTGCTTGTCCACTGCCGTGAAGGTTACAGCCGCTCTCCGACTCTCGTCATCGCATACCTCATGATGCGTCAGAAGATGGATGTCAAGTCCGCCCTCAGCATTGTGAGACAGAACCGTGAGATTGGCCCCAATGATGGTTTCCTGGCCCAACTCTGCCATCTCAATGACAGACTAGTCAAAGAGGGGAAGTTGTAACTCGAGGGGGCTCCCACTGCCTCTCCGCCAGAGGCATCTGGGGAGGCTTGAGTGCCCCAAGCCGCCATGTTTAGGAGTCAAAGTGTACCCCACTCCAAGTATCACTTGCCAATGAGTCTGTCCTAACACAGCCCTGGGCCACTTCTCCCGAGGAGCACATAAAGCAGCTTGCTGAGAAGTGCATCCTCGCTCCCTGGTGTGTCCTGTTCTGTCGTTTGTGATGTCCTCTTCCCCAGGTGGGGGCCCAGAGAAGCAGGCCTGTGACGTGCATGCTTCTTCTCAGTGACTCAGGGCAGGGGCTTGTGTGGACGCCCACAGGGGCACCTCATGACCTTCACCACACTTCGGGGTTCTCTCCTGCGTGGAGATCTTAGCATCCTGAGCGCTAGGGAAGGAACTATGCAAACATGGGCCCTCTTCCTCCACCGTGTCTCTGTCTTCTGATCGCACAGCCTTGCACACCCTTTTCACCGACTGGACCACGTCATGAAGTCTAAAGCTGTGATGTCCCGGGTGGACCACACCCAGCGTGACATTGTCACAGGACGTGACACCACAGTGATTGTCTATAAAATTTTTGTGCAGCATTTCAGCAGAAACTATTTTTTATAAAAACATCCTGTAAGTTTGAAGAACAGAAACACATTTTTCTGTGGCAAGCTGGCTTACGTGGCTTATTTTACCTCCAAGTAAATAAGCTGATTTACTTTTTGAACTTTCAATGCACTCTGGCCAAAACTGTCATTATTCCTCAATAATGTGGTTTCTTCTGCACGCACTATTGTAATTTAAAGCCATAATTTAAATGTTGCTAGTTGTTTATGTCACTACTATTGCCATTACATTTAGTGATATGCAGGAGTTATGATTTCTAATGAACAGTAGTAACAGAACATGTTTTTAAAAATTTCTCTATGATCGGGTGTGGGAGGAGGGCCCTGGCAATACCAGGAGATATAGAACTGAGGGACACCAACCCCGGTGAGGCTGGTCTGAAGGGAATGGGGTCAGGGTATCTGCTAGCTGGGAATTCCCACAGAGAGACTTGATGTTAGATGTTTCCTTAAAGTTAGAGACATTTAAACTAAACGGCCCAACTGAGTGAGCAGACACTTTCTTGTGGGAGATTCTCCTCATAGAGTTTTAAAAATGTGTCTCTCTGGAAGGCCTTTGAGTGACTCAATTCATGCCACCGTTGGACTATTTTATTTCCACCCTCACCGTCACTTCATTTGTTAGAAGAGCGAAGTTCTGACCATGCTTGTATTTTTCTCTTTTTTAGAAAATAGGGTGTTGAGGCCCAGCCTATTTAAAAACCCCACCATTTGGAGAATTACAAGGGTTTTGTCCTGAATTATAGTGTTGGCCAGCCCCAGCCACTCACGCTAGCTGCTTTTTGTCTCCGTTTCTATTCCCAGAGTAGAGGGAGGAAGTTGGCCAATTAGAGCGTGACTGTGAGGGGGTGTAGGGGGGTGTCTCTGGGATAGGCAGCTGGTGGGGAGCCTGGAAGAGCAGCCCCAGGCTCACGCCCTGTGCTTTTACTCATGGTTCTTCCCTCCTGGAACATCGGCTGTAGTGTGACCACAAGAGCCTTTGGGAACCAAAGTGACTCAGCTGGACAGAAACAAAACATGGCGGAGCGTCCAAACACAGACAAGCAGCCTCGTTAGGACTTTCCCTCTGACGCAGTTGGGATGTACTAGCACGTCCCCTCACACACGTGTGCACCTTTGTTAGAATATAAGAATTTTGTTTTGAACACAGTGTTGTTAAGGCTTTACTTTTTTTGCACTGATGGAAAGCAGTTTCTTCAGGGTTGCACACCACTACCCAGCACAAAAATGTCTGATAAAAAATTTGTGCAATTAGCCACCACCTCCTCCCCCTCATTTTTCAGTAGATATAACTAGGATGTGTAGGGTCTTGTTCTGCTGGGTGTGCCAAGCTCCCAGGAGCCTGGAATTGTGGCAGGACTGCTTGCAGGGGGCTCTGCAAAAGGAGTCTTACCTGAAGTGAAATATCAGGGAATTGTGTTGAATCTTTGAAATTCAGTTTTACCTTTGAGTTCCCAAAGTTTAAATGGGGAATGTGCCTTCTTAAAGAGTTTACCAAGGAGTTTTTGTCTAGGAAAAGGAGACAATGCTTAGTTAAATAGTCTTGGGGCTTCACTTGGTGGTACAAGAATTCTCTGACCACATCATCCCTGAAGAAACCTGTCTTCTTTTCTGGACATCTGTCCAGATAGACCCATGTAAGAGAGCCATCACTAAACTGTGTACCTCACTTTATGATTGTCAGGTCACTTCCCCACTTAACCTAACTTGAGCCTCAAGAGGACCTTGTAAAATTGGTAGAGCTATTAGTGTGTTAACTCTAAAAAGAAAACGAAACTGGGGTTCGGAATGCTAAAAAGTGTGATTCTTGAGTTGCCTGGCTCGTTGAGGCAATAATTTAAGACCCTTGTTCTCTGAGGCCCAATTCTTTCATACCTTACTCTTCTTCAAGTTCAGCTGCTAACCAAAAGGTCGGTGGTTCAAACCCACTAGCCACTCTGGGTAAGAAAGATGAGGCTGTCTGCTTCCATGAAGATTACAGTCTTGGAAACCCTAGGGGACAATTCTGCTGTGTCCTGTAGGGTCAAGATCAGTCAAAGCGACTTGAGGACACTATTGTTTAGTGTCAAGCCCTAAAACCCCTCCCTCATCCTGAGAGTGTCTAGTGGGCGGTATACACCCATGGTCCACTCTAGGTGACAAGGTTACCAAAGGACTTTGTTCATCCTGGTCACCAGAGACAGCCTGGATGAGGGTAGAAGGGAGCATGGACCCATCTTCCATCTGACTGGGCGAGAATGTGCGACTCATCTTCTGAGAAAAATGGAGCACCCCGAAGCCAGAGCTTTCTGCTCCTCTTTGGAGCTGGGGCTCAGGGCCTCCTTCCGTGGCAGACAGTGGCAACCTCACCTGGACAGCCATAGCTACTTGGACACAGCAGTTTGGACGCAGTTGTTTGACCAACCAGGACCTCTCTGAGGTCTTTGCAGGGACCTGAGAGAAGAAAAGCTATGGAGAGAACTGCTGGTTTTTACTTTATATGCTGACAGCCTGGGATTTCTTTAGTCTCAGAGACACCCTTCATTTTTACCTCACAAAATTAGTTCCTAATTCTTTAAGTAAAAGAAAATTCGTTACTGTTGTGTGAAAGCCAATATACAACCCAGCTAGGAGTGTGGTTTTTGCTTGGATAGCTCTCTACCACCCCCACCCCAAGAACTGATGGAGTCTGAACTCAGGGTGCTCCCCCCATCCCATGCCTTACTCTGATGAATACACATCATCCAGGCAAAATTAGAGCACCAAATCTTTATCTTAAAAAACAGTACAAGTGGTCACCTCTGAGTTATTTTGAGAACATAGGCCACCATCTGTCAAGCACAGGGGCTCACCTAAAAGATTCCAGTTCCTTCTGGTTCCAACATTATAGGGTGTGCTAGAAATCTCCATTTGGATTTTAGCACCAACTGGAATGACAATGTATGTATGAATAACAACACTATGGCCAGCAGGTGGCGCCATTGTACTTTATTGATGGCTGGTTTGGAGGGGAGCTGATGGTGCCTTCTGAGTCACAAGTTAATGTTCAGATGCTAGCATTTTAATTAAAATAAGCACTGATCTTAAAATATGGAGACAGGCTTTTTCTCTTCCTGGAAGATTTCTTTGTCAGAATCATTGAAGAACAAAAAATGATGGCGCTTCCATGTTAAGACTTTATCTTGATTAGAAATAGGTCATTTCAATTTGAAGCTGGTTGGAAATGTCATTTTTGTTGCCTCTTACTTCTTGCCACTTCTTTGGATTTGATCATAAAAGAATGCATTTCCTTAAATTTAAAAGTAAAAAAAGAATGCATTTCCTAGAAAGGAGATGTCCAATTGCTTTTTTAAAAAATGAAGAAGGGATGAATAAATAAGGCGGAAATCTTAATGTCTGTTGTATCACGAATCAGTGTCAAAACACAAAATTGTAACCAAAATAAATGCCCTCTACTACAAAGATATGGTCTTATTTTTAAATTCTTCTCATCACAGTTGCATTTCCTTTGCACTTTAATCTTTTGTGTTTGTTTTCTCTAACTTAAACGTTTACTTAATGTATTTAGAATAACCCCTCCTGAGCATTTTGCAATGTGAATGATTCTACAAATGGGTACTCTTCAAATGCTTGCCCTTCCTTAAACCTAAAACTCATCGCCTTTGACTGGATTTTGACTCATAGTGACTGTAATAGGAAGAGTCGGGGTCTTAAGGTTGTAATTTTTTTCTTTCCTTGTTGTGTAATGTCAAATTGGATATGACTGGCACAGGAAGAGATTGCCCTTACTTCTCCAGGCGCAGCATCTGGTAGATTCGAACCCCATGCACCTTCAGGACTGCAGTGCAGCTTCTTGCCATTAGGCCACCAGAACTTCCTGTTCAAGGTTATAATTTTTATAGGAGCAGATTGCCACCTCTGTCTTCTTCAGAGTGGTTGGTGGACTTGAACCACTGATCTTTTAATGAGTAGCTGCTGAGTGCTTAACCAGTGTGCATGCAGGGTTCCATTCCCTTGCCCCAAAAGCTTTAACTCTCCTAATAAGTTGGTGTTAGTGGCCAATGAGATGAGCCCCAGCTCTTGGTGACCGAATGCACAATGGAGCAAAACACTCTGCTGTCCTGTTATGGGTAAGACTTATTATGGTCCACTGGATTTTCTTGGGCTGGTTTGGGGAAGCAGGTCACCAGGCCTTTTTTCTGGCTGTCTTAGTCTAGAAGCTCCACTAAAACCTGTTCAGTGTTAAGTGGCGTGTGAGCGTCACTGACAGCTATTAGCAGTGTATGGGGAGAACAGGTCAGAAATGAAACCCAGATTTCCCACAAGGAAGGCAAGAATTCTACCATTGAACTACCTACTGAATTCTATATAATGCCCACTGCCTTTTCTGAATTTAAAAATTCAGAG